AGCACCCCAGGGGCTCCACTGCGTCCAGGCTGCCCCGCCCCACTCCCCACCGCACGCGCCACCCCCCTGATCTGGCCCGTTCCCGTGCAGCTCTGCGGCTTGTGCAGGGCTCTGGAGATGAAGTGCAGATTCCTCACACTGAGCACCTCCTCTGTGTCACACACCGTGAGCCGGGAAACGGGAGTTTTAAAAGTATTAATTCACTTGACCAAGTCTGCACCCCAGTAGAAGTGAAGCTAAGATTCAAACAGGCCCATCTGGCCCCTTCTCGGAAGCACTGTGACCTCCCGTCCGGAGCTGGGCCTGCTCACTCCCCACCTCCAGCCGCGCAGTGTCTTCCACACCCTCGGCCTTGCCCTGCGCCCTCTCCCTGCCCACTGCCCCTTCCCGTCTCGGGTCTCTGCGGGGGCTCCCCCTCGGTGGCGGGCTCCCGTCTGCTGTGGTGCCCTTCAGGACGCTCGGCCACGTCCTGCCCTGCACCTCCGTCTGGAACAGGACGCGCGGCCCGTCCCGCCCTGCACCTCCGTCTGGAACAGGACGCGCGGCCCGTCCCGCCCTGCACCCTCCGCCCTGCACCTCCGTCTGGAATAGGCCGTGCGGCCCGTCCTGCCCTGCACCTCCGTCTGGAATAGGCCGTGCGGCCCGTCCTGCCCTGCACCTCCGTCTGGAATAGGCCGTGCGGCCCGTCCTGCCCTACACCTCCGTCTGGAACAGGCCGCCCGGCCCCGTCCCGCCCTGCACCCTCCGCCCTGCACCTCCGTCTGGAATAGGCCGTGCGGGCCCCGTCCCGCCCTGCACCTCCGTCTGGAATAGGACGCGCGGCCCGTCCCGCCCTGCACCTCCGTCTGGAACAGGACGCGCGGCCCGTCCCGCCCTGCACCCTCCGCCCTGCACCTCCGTCTGGAATAGGCCGTGCGGCCCATCCCGCCCTGCACCTCCGTCTGGAACAGGCCGCCCGGCCCCGTCCCGCCCTGCACCCTCCGCCCTGCACCTCTGTCTGGAATAGGCCGTGCGGGCCCCGTCCCGCCCTGCACCTCCGTCTGGAACAGGACGCGCGGCCCGTCTTGCCCTGCACCTCCGTCTGGAACAGGCCGCCCGGCCCCGTCCCGCCCTGCACCCTCCGCCCTGCACCTCCGTCTGGAATAGGCCGTGCGGGCCCCGTCCCGCCCTGCACCTCCGTCTGGTGTCCTGCTCCGTAACAGGAAGCATCGAGCCATCTCGATCCCAAACTCTGACAAGTGGAACGAAGGCCGGACAGTCAGCCACTGTGGAACCCGAGGGGCCCAGGAAAGAGAGGAAGCTGCCAGACCACCCAGCAGTCCCACTTCCGGGCACGGATGCCGAGAAAACAGCAGCAGTGATCCGAAAGAGGTGCCCTGTGCACTGCAGCATGATTTACGGCCGTCGGATGTGGAGGCCACCGAGGTGTCCACTGGCAGACGAGCAGACACCGAAGAGGTGGTGGGTCACACAGTGGGACGCGACTCAGACACAAAACACAATGAGCTCTTCTCATCCGCAACAGAATGGATGGATCGAGGGTATTATGCTAAGTGAAATCGAACAAGAAAGACAAGTGCCATAGGATCGTACTGTTATGTGGGTCTAAAATAAAACAAACAAAACGGAAACAAAAACAGACTGAGAAGCAGAGATCAAACGATGCTGAGAGGAGGGTGGGGAGGAGGAACGGTAGAGGGGAACACAGCCACGGACCTGGGTGGCTCTGCAGGTGACAGGTGGCGTGGACTGTGGCGAGCACACTGTGGCACCTAAAGGTCAGGTCCCTGCACTGTGCCCTAAACTAACGTCATGTGAAGAGTAAGGAACGAAGACGGTGCTGAGAGCCTCCTGTCCCCAGGACGAGGACGTCCCCGTCCCTCACAAGCAGGCGGTGCCTGTCCACTCAGACGGACACGGACGCGCACCGTCCCGACACCGGGCACAACCCCGTCGGATTTCTCCCCTCCTTACAGCCTTGCTCCCGGTCGGTCTGCTCGGTCCAGATGTCCTCAGTGCCACCACTGCCCTTTTCTGTCCCGGGACCCCAGCCAGGACACGTGCCACTTAGCGGCCATGTCCCCAACCCCCCTCTTCCTGTGACAGTTTCTCACTCAAACCACCCATTTGAGGTGCCGTGGCCAGGGACTTACAGACGGCCCTGAACTGGGTTGGGGATGTTTTTCATGAGCTGGGGGGGCTGTGGTGTTTGAGATGACCAAGAGGTCATTTTCATCCCCTCACATCGAGGGACGCACCACCGTCGCAGGTGTTCCCACTGCAAAGTCACCCACACTCCTCCGAAGGACGTCCCGAGCGCAGCCCCATTCACGCCTGAGGGCGGGGTGCTCGAGGCTGGTCGTCTCTTACCCAGGCATTTGCTTACTCCAGTCACTTGTTTCCATCGGTTTGGACACAGACATTTACTTTATACTCTAGGTTGTGACCCAATGTTACTTCACTTATTTTGTCACTCAAGTCGTTTCAGCCTTAGCCACTGGGAGCCCTGTCAGCCTGCCCCGACCGAGTGCCTGTGCACACCATCAAGTATGCGTGTGTCTGTGTCCGTGTGTGCGTGTCTGTCTCTGTGTGTCTGTGTGTGCGTGTCTGTGTGTGCATGTGTCTCTGTGTCTGTGTATGTGTGTGCATATGTGCGTGTGTGTCTGTGCATGTGTGTCTGTGTGTGTGTGTGTCTGTGTGTCTGTGTGCATGTGTCTGTGTATGTGTGTTTCTGTCTATATGTGTCTGTGTATGTCTGTGTGTGTGTCTGTCTCTGTGTGTGTCTGTGTTTCTGTCTCTGTGTGCGTGTGTCTCTATATGTGTCTGTGTCTCTGTGTATGTCTGTGTGTGTGTGTCTGTCTCTGTCTCTGTGTATGTCTGTGTGTGTGTGTCTGTCTCTGTGTCTGTGCTTCTGTCTGTGCGAGTGTGTGTCTGTGTGTATGTCTGTGTGTGTGTGTCTCTGTGTGTGCCTGTCTTTGTGTGTGTGTGTGAAGCATTTTCTGACTTCCTGACACTACAAGATGCTGCAGGTTTATCTTGTGTATTTTCTGCCCCAGTTCTAGAATCTGCCACTTCCCAAGAAGCACCCCTGGTTCCTTCAATTAGAGCATGGTATTCGAAACCAAAATCTGGGTGCTGGGTATACATTACTAGAAAGTGAAACAAGCCATGCTATTCTCCGCAGGGACACACTCCTGTGACTTACGCCAGCTGGTCCGCCCGAGCTGCTCCTCCCGGCCGGGACACAGCACTTCCGGGACATGTGCGAGCCCTGACCTGGACAGAGCGCCCTCCCGGGCCCGCTGGCACGGCTCACACACCGACAGCTGGCTGCGAGCGCAGTCCAAGGGCCCCTTTCTTTCTTTCCCACGGAGCATCTACAACTCCGACTGTCCTGTTTGACAGCAGCTTGAATCTTACCTGACTGCTCAGCACAGATCCCCTCACAGGTTAGTGACAAAGGAACATGCTGAGGAAACGGAAGTCTTAACGGCTGCTTCCAAGACGTCCTTAAACACACTGAGTAGGCAATGACGATCTTTGTAAACTGGCAGTGCAGAGACTAACAAAGTAAACTACTTTGGTCTTTACTTAGGTATTTCATTTAGATTTTTTCCCCCAGAATATGTTGAAATTGAGGTTATTCTATTCCATTCATCAGCATTTTTTTCTTTGGATATTTTGAAAATTAAAAATAGCCCTGGCCGGTTTGGCTCACTGGTTAGAGCATTGGCCTGTGGACCAAAGGGTCTCGGGTTCAATTTCCAGCCAAGGACAGATACCTGGGTTGTAGGTTCGATTCCTGGCCCCCATCAGGGTCCTGCGGAAGGCAACCAATGGATGTGTCTCTCTCATATCAATGTTACTTTCTCCCTCCCTCCCTCCCTCCCACCACTCTATGTAAAATATCAATGGAAAAATATCCTCAGGTGAGGATTAACCAAAAAAAAAAAAAGAAAAGAAAATTTAAAATAAACCTAAAATATTTAATATATAGCAAGTATAAAAAGGATGTAACAGAAAAATACCACATTGTTTACAGATCTGAGTATCTCCTGAGACGAGTTCATTTTCAAATTTGTCTAAACTGACCCCAGCTCTCCCCACCCCCACCTGCACAGTGGTGTGCCTGTGACCTCTCTCGGCAGACTGTCAGGAAGGTGACCTTCAATGTCACCGGATGCTAGGCCTTCTTGAGCTCACCCTCACCTGGATGGCCACACTGCCACCTGGTTGACAGGCCTTGGAGACACCTTCAATTCTGAGATTGTCATGGTTTAAAGGTTAACCCAGGGGGGGCAAGGTCTGTCTCAGGACCGATGAAACAGGTTGACAACCAAATGTGACTGTTACCCATTTAAAGACAAGAACACTGAGAAATTCTAGGAAACCTGTTCCCCCTATATTTTTATTTCATTTTCAACACTAAACAATACTACTTATTTCATATACTAAGTTTCTCCTAAAGTTTACAACACATCAGTATCTTCTCCAAAGATGCAATAATACAGAAGCCACCTCTCGATTTCACTGGTAGGTTTTCCTAAATTCTTCAGCTGCCATGGTGGTCGACCAGGATTAGCTGAGACCTCCACTTGTCTAGTAGCCCGCTACAGAAACTGCCTTGAACCCGAGGACCAACAGCCTTCACACTGCAAATGATGAGCCGTTTACCTGACAGCTTTGAATATCCTGACCTAAGTTTCTTTGTAGGAGCATCTGTTAAACAACGATGTCAGGTCAAGGAACAGTTCGCTGCAATAAAGGAAGTACTACTGAAATACCTGTACAAAATTAATAATTACACCATTAAAGACTGCCCATCGCCGTGTCCGGTGATACAGAATACAACGCAGTCGTGTGTGTGCATCCCGGGGCAGTGGGGGAAGGGGGGAACTGCCGAAAACACAAGCTAGGCTCCACATTCACAAAAATTAGTACAAACACATACAATTTCATTCTAACCGCCAAGGTTAACTCTTCTTACAATTTCAACTCACCTTTTCTGGAATATTTTGCATAATGATGTCCAAATGCGACAAAACCGATAAGAATGTACAAATGCTTGTTTTAAGGTTTTCTTCACCCTGAAAAAAATCCGATAAACCAGTCATTCAAGGCTGAGTGTGGCCCTGGGACACTGCGGGCCCCGGAGAGGCAGCCCCTTCCCACACCGCTGAGGCCTGGGCGAGGAACGGCCTGTGGCCACACGCAGGACAACCCGCAGACACTCACTCCTGTGAAGTGAGGGTGCTGTCCAGGGTGCACTCATTCCAGAAGCGGAGAGGCCTGCAGGACGAGGACGGGCTAGGGGCGGGCCAGGCGCAGGGCGGAGAGCGAACAGGTGGACAGGGAGCCTGACGCACGGAGACAGAGGCAGGTGGAAGGCCAGGCTCCGACGTGAAGAGGGACCATGCAGACGGCGAGAACGCCATGATGAGAGCTATGTCAGAGGGTCAAGGTGGACTCGGAAACCTCCCTGGTCACAGCCACTGGGAGTGACACACTGACGGAGCCAGGCAGATGGACTGGGACCACAGACCGCAGTTCGGGGGGTGGAGGAGGAAGGCTCCCTGTGGAAACCAGACGCCTCAGCACGTGGGGCTGGGACGGAGGTGCCTGTAGGAGGAGCGGGTGAAGACCACGCACACAGGACCGGTGCGGCCTCTCAGCAGCCAGGGGACCGGCTGCACACACTGAGCACCAGGAAAGGCAGTGAGGGCCGGAGGGGGCCGGCCTGGGCGAAGGAGGAGTCAGGCAGCCCTGTGGCTGCTTCTGAGAAGACACATTCTTCTGTGAGCCTTCTATTTCTCTAGAAAAGCGAAGGCAAAGCCATCTGCTTCAAGCAAAGGAAGGAAAGGCTGTAGTGCGTATCTGCCCCGTTTTGGATATTTATCCTGAATCCCCTTCCAAGTTTGGGGACCTCTCCCACCTTACAGGTCTGTGGGGAGCTGACAACAGCAGACGGTCCTTTCCCTAGCCTCCCTGTACCTGACCTGGATCCAGAGATCCCAACACCAAATTCTGAATTGAGAATGCATCACCTAGAAAGGCTGAGCCCACGGAGGGCCCACCTCCACGCAGGTGCGGAGGCCAGGCTGCGTCCAGGGGGCTGATGCACTCCCCCGGCACCGCCCAGGGCTTGCTGTGGCGGCTGCCCCTTGTTCCTGCCTGATCTTCCAGCCTGATTCTGCAGCGCCTGGTGCCTGGTACGTGGCAGGCATTCTGCAAGCTGCCCAGCTCCCTCCTCCTCCACTGCGTGTCCTGTTTGACTCGACTGGCCCCAGCTGTCTGTTTGCTCACCGTGGAACACCCTGACTGATGCCACGGGAAGACCGCAAGAGAGTTCCCAAGGTCTGCCGCTCTCTGCGAACAGTGGGACGGCGCAGAGCAGAACGGAGAGAACGGCTGACGACTGGGGCAGGGAGTCGGGAAGGCCCTGATGTCCCGGCCCGGCCCACTGGGAAGCAGACAGAACAAAGGAGACGAATAAAGCAACAGGTCTGAGGAGCAGTCCAAGAAGAACTGAGACATCTTTCTTCACTGCCTGACCCGAAGAGGAGGAGGGCCTTGGACGGGAAAGGAAGGTGGTAGTAAATGTAAAAGCCCCAGCCTGCCCCCCACCACAGGGTGAGCAGGAAGGTCAGCGGGAGGGAGCCAGGCAGGGAGCGAGGTCCTCATCAGTTCAGGGCACACAGGCTGCAGCTGACAGCAGGCGAAGGGGCTGGAGATGCGGCAGCCAGCAAAGCGGGGTAACAGCCAGGGTGTAGAAAGAAGGGCGGAGGGTTCAATGATGGTTCTTAAAGTAAAACCAAGAAAGCACACATGCAAGGACCAGAGACCAGGGCACCCAGGAAGGGCGCGGGCACGGCAGGGACGGCCGGCTACAGGAAGCCACGCTGAGGCCTGGGGCCGGATAGGGAAGGAGAAGGCGTCCCCGCTCCCAGGTCTGAGAACGCCCTGCAACGTGCTCTCCGGAGTGCGAGGGGAAGGCAAAGAGCACTCCTTGTTGGAGTGTACTAGTGAAGAAGAGAAGACACCAGCAAAGGACATGCAAACACATTCCCTCCCCTAGAACAGGAAGGAGAAAGAGAAAAGGAGGTTCTCCAAGGAAGGTGTCTCCATCTGAGCACCAAGCAGAGCACAAGCTACACAGGGGAGCATGAACTGGGGACCACGGGGCTGGTGTGCAGAAACAATTCGTTCTTGTCAGGAAAGCTGACTGTGAACTCTGCGCTGACCTTAGCATCAGCTCCGTAAGAATGATTCCGAGACACAAGGAGGGGCAGCGGTGTGGACACACAGTCACACTGGATGAGCTGCGATTTCAACACCTGTCCATCATGCACGGCTAAGCTTGGTTTGTGCATTTTAAACAGTCACTCCATTTAGCCTGTCTTTACAGAATGTGGAAGCATTCTGCATACCTTGTAACTTTGCCCTAACCTAGTTACCATACACGTTCCTCCAGAACTGGCTCAGTTACTGAATGTGGAAGGGAGGGTTTCAATACAGCCTTTGAGGTCGTAATGTTGCCATTCTGTCAAGTTTCTTATCTCGCCTTTGCTTTTTTCTTATCTGGTTTAATTTTTCTGATGGTAAAAGCTTTAAAACAGCTGCAGACATTTCCATGGGTCATGTTATGGCTGCTTTTCTGCTCTGTCTTTAACTGGCTTCAGTGCCATGCTGTGCATTTACTAGGACATGATGCATCTGTGAGCACTGTGACGTTCTATGAAATGGGCTGGTAATATTTACAGACAGGGCAGCATTTTATTTTTAATTTATTTAAAAAGAGGCACTACTTATGTGAATCTGAACTGTGGGATATTTCTTGCTTTAAGAGAAGTAACTCCTACACAGAAACTTGTGGCCACAGTTCTGTACATGACCACAGTAAGTGGTATGTCCATAACCTGAGCTTCTTACCGTTACAAATGAGCATTTAGCACAATATATGGCTATAACATTAGGTAAGTAGCTTTCTAATGATCATAAGGTATCAAGGTGAAAAATATACAATTCAATAAGTGAAAACTCAGTGTAAAACTACAGCTCTGTCTCCCTTCATCAAAACAGCTCACACGCACTACAAACTGTTCAGCAGCCCTGAGCACTGCGTACGCCGGGGGCGCTTGGCTGGGCCAGTAACCCTGGGCCTGAGGACCTACCCACCCAAATGAGGTCAGCGTCCACAGTTTTCTTAGGCTGAAGTTTAGGACCTACAGCAAACTATAATGCTGGAAACAGATAACATTTTATTACGGGTTTATAATGATAATTTTTTTATCCAGAAATGTCATTTACTGAAAAATTGTGAAAATTTACATTGTGGTATTTTTTTAAAACCATTACAGAGCATTTTACATGCTGTATATTTTAAGTGAAATAACATTCCAGTTTTATTTTTTAAGATATGAAATTGTTTTTTATATATATATATACATATATATACATACATATATATACATATATATATATGTATATATATGTATATATATGAATGATTTGGGGAAAAGAGAGAAGCAAACCTCTCAGCACAGCCCACATCTTTCCTTAATTTAAAAAATATAAAAAATATCCTTTACTTACATAAGAAAAACAATCCCAGAACTTCGGAAGAAATTGAGGGAATTTATGAAGAACCAATATGATAATCCATTCTATGTAATATTTTATGGATGCTTGATTATTGACGAAACCAGCTTGGAAAATCTTGTCAATGATTCTATTCAAGAAATTCTGAGAAAAATAAAATTCACAAATAAAATTCACAAATTCACAAATAAAAAAAGTACATTTATTATTTTAAATGTACTGTAATTGAGGTATAATTAACATATGAAATTGTGTAAGTGTAAGGGATGAAATGCTGACCAGACGATCACACATCAGATGACCGCCACCCTGCACCGGCTGACCCTCCCTCAGCCAACATCACCATTTCTCTTTGTGGTGGGAACAATTAAGATGTTGTCTCTTACCAATTTTGAAAATGGTAATTAATTTTAATTTAACAAATACTCACCACTAAAAAAAAAGCTTCAAATTTTATTGTAAGTAACTTAAATCTATCACTCGGCAAACAATGACCCTAAAAAACTGTTGAGCAAAGTATAATGAGGTACTTTTCCCGAGTACTTCACCTTGTACTTGGACATCAATTCTGGGGAAAGGTATTTTTTTAAATCCTCACCAGAGGATATGTTTCCATTTATCTTCAGATAAAGTGGGAGGGAAGGAGAGAGAGAAAGAAACATCAGTGTGAGAGAGACACATCGACTGGTTGCCTCCTGCATGACCCCAACCAGGGCCAGGGCCAGGGACAAACCGCAGCCGAGCCCCTGGCCGGAATCAAACCTACAATTCTTCGGTCCGTGGGCTGACGCTCTAACTGCTGAGCCAAACCGGCCAGGGCGAGAAGGTTTTTATTCTCTGTGTCTTTACAGGAAAAAGAAAAGATCCAGGAAAGGGAAAATGAGTCTCTCAAAGCCACACATCCGGTAAGCAGCAGAGTTCAGATTCACATCGAGATGTGCCAAGATGCCCTGGACCAGAAACCTGAACACAGACACCAAAGTCAGCAGGAGGTGGGCAAAGCCCGGCAGGAGCAAGGCGGGCCTCCCGGGTCCTTGGACTGACGGCCCACGCTCCTGCTGACACAGCCTCCCCACTTTTTCCAGCCGAGACCCTGACTCCAAAGTCCTCCTCCCTCGGCCCACCCTTGTCTTCAGAACTGTACTTCTGAGTAACTGAACTTCTCTCAATAGCAGGTAGAAAACATTATCTCCTCATATAAGCACATAAAAGTACTTATGTATTTATGTACATATATTTTGTTAATCCTCACCCAAGAATATTTTTTTCATTAATTTTTAGATAGAGTGGAAGGGGGGTGGAGGAGAGACAGAAAGAGAAACACTGATGTGAGAGAGACACACAGATTGGCTGCCTCACACACAACCCCAACCGGGGCAGGGGACTGAGCCTGCAACCCAGGTACGCGCCCTCGACCAGGAATCAAACCCGCCACCTTTCAGTCTACAGGCACCACTCTAACCAGCCAGGGCTTATGTATATTTCTCTAAGATAAAGAAGAAGAATTCATCTTAGAAGAATTTCTAATTGGTAGAAGGGGAGCAGAACAGCTCACCTCAAGCCCCTGGCAGTTACGAGGCGGAGTGTGACGGGATGAACCCGCCCCCGCGAACTGTGCTTTCTGGGGGAGAGTCCAGACAGTGACACTACAAATAGTGCAGCTTTGGAAGATCAGTTGTTCAGCTTTTCTAATCAAATGGCATACGAAACTTTAAACACAAAGTTTTACGTTAAAATACTGAAAGAGCCCTGGTCGGTTTGGTTCAGCTGTTAGAGCATCGGCCTGCGGTCCCGAGAGACCCCGGGTTCGGTTTCCGTAAGGACAGGTACCTCGGTAGCAGTTTGTCCCCGGCCCTGGTTGGGTTGTGTGGGAGGCAGCCATTCGATGTGTCCCTTTCACATCGATGTTTCTCTCTCTCTCCCTCCCACTCTATCTGAACAACAAAATGGAAAAATGTCCTCAGGTGAGGATAAAAAAATAAAAATAAAACGTTGAAAGAAAAAGCAAGCAGTGAGCCACAGAAACCACTGTCAGACTTATTTGTGCCCTGATTGCCTGTTTTACTTCTGTTTAAAATAAAGCTCTTTTCTGAACAACTTTGAATGTAAGAGCTGACGTGTAAATTTTAAGCTGATCACTCTCAGTTTTAAAATAGCACATGACAGTTTCTACTAACTAGTTTATTCATATGGAAACACTATGCTTAAAAGTACAAATATCGTAACTATTATACCTGATCAAATCTAGGGAAAAGTACAAGCAGAATCTGCCATATTCGGTTTTTCACTCTGTGTTGTTGAGAATTCATGTAGTATCGAGTTCTAGACGTGGACACCAGTTCGTCCTAGGGCGAGCAGGAGAGGGAATTTATATTAAATTATTTGCTGAATTTGTGATTAATGAAAACAAAATCATGACAACCTCCAACGTAGAAGCTTAACCTGGGCACAGGAGCCTCTTACGCTCCAAGAGGCAGAAAGGAGGATAAAGAGACATGTTTTTAGTTTCCTTTCAAAACAAAGCATTTAGTTGCTTAACTTATGTGCTTTTAAAATTAGAAAAGGAACTACAGAGCTGTATTCAGGGCAGAAAGTCTTTGAAGACACTTCCGTTCCTTGGTGGCGGGTGAAGAGGCGACCTGGGGCCGCGGGTGAGGAGAGATGGAGACACGGGCCATGTGTTTCAAGGCACCGAGAAACGCCCCGAGTGTGGACTGACGGCATCTGCAATTCGATGGAAGCACCATGGAGACAGGAGCACCTGCAGCAAGGACAGCAGTGCCGTCCAGACCGAGTGCAGCCGCAGCCTCTCCACCAGCGGACACTGCTGCGCGCCTGTGTCCCCTGGGAGGGCCCTGCTGCTTTGCCAGCTCCTCGTCCTCCGGGGCACAGTGACACTCCACCTCCTCTGACACATCTCCTGATGCCCACAGTGCAAAGGAGGACACTTCTGCATACAAAACACTTCCTGGGTTTTACGTAATAAAGCTGGCGAGTGTATGGTGAACACTGCACTTTAGTGGGTGCAGACCTGAGTGAGTCACCAGCTACATCGGGGGCCCAAACCAGAGGTTAGAAGGCACATCGAGCTCCCTGTCCTTGGCTTCGGGCTCAGAAGGGAGCAGTGTACTTGACTGGCCCGGTTTTATTAACCCTCCGAAGGCAGTGGATGTTCATTTATAAATAACTTCAGACTCAAAAAAAACTCTGCACATTATGGCAGTTTCTAAATTTTTACCTTTTTTTCTTTATTGATTTTAGAGAGAGGAAAGGAAAGGGAGAGAGAGAGAAACATGAATGAGAGACAACATCTGTTGGCCGCCTCCTGCATGCCCCCCACTGGGGATTGGGCTCACAACCTGGGCATGTGCCCTGACCAGGAATTGAAGAATTGAACCGGCGACCTCCTAGTGCATGGGTCAACGCTCAACCACTGAGCCACACCGGCCGGGCTAAATTTTTACCTCTTTACTCTATTTCTTACATAAAACAATGTCTGGATACATCACTCTAAATCTAACTGGTTTTGACTTGCACAGGAAAATGCAGAGTGAAGTTCAGGTAGTACAGGAAAAACACTGTTGTTCTCCAAAGCAAACTTAAGTTTGACAATTACTAACCAAGATGTAACCAAAAATACAGAACATAAATATCATGTTTTTTCTTGATCAAATATTTAGAAATACATATTTTGTCAACATAAAGAGCAAATGTTGGACTTTGACTTAACTATATAAAAACAAAGATATTTGAAAGTAAAAAAAACAAAAACATATTTACTTTATCTAATAGCTTGATTGCAAGATCTTCCATAAATGACTTATGAGACATATTTGAGCCATCTAATAAACACAGGAATTTGACAGCACAAATTCTGACATAATGGTCCTCTCTTTTGGTACTAAAAAATATGAAATGATAGACTATGTTAATACATTATCAAAACAGAAAAGTACTTCAAATACTAGTTTCAAAATATCATAACAAGTATTGAAAGCTTCCAAAGTGTTCTGATAGTCATCAGGTCCATAACGAATGGCAATGCTTCTCCCACAGAGGCCTCGGAACGAGCCGGTCGGAAGGCGAGCCTGTGCTCACTCGGAAGGAGCAGACTCACCCCGGCTTCTGGGAAAGCTACACACACGCACACAGCTGACCCTGGGCAATAACCTCATCGGTGGACAAGCCGCTCAGGACTCGCGAAGCTGCTCCTGAGCCAGGGCGTGGACAGCGCCCTCCCCTCAGGCCTCCAGGGCTCGTCAGCAGCAAACGCACGTTCTCTACAAGAAGGGCGAGCTGGGCACCATGGGCCTCAGCACCCCAGCGTTTTCAGTGTAAAATGTGGAGGATAAATTTAGTGAAACACAGTTAATAACTGTTTCCAAAGTTCATTATAACTGTTTAATGTAAATGAATGTCATTTTAATTTAACAACAAAACATTTGTCTAGTCTAAATCAAAGTTATTTTGGAACCATCAACTAAAAAGTTTTACTTTTGTTGCTACAGTAAATTGATCAAGAAAAAAAAGATCAATTAAAACAATAAACAATGAGCCCTGGCCAGTTTGGCTCAGTGGTTAGAGCGTCGGCCTGCGGTCCAGAGAGACCCGGGTTCGGTTCCCGCTAAGGGCACGTACTTCGGTTGCAGTTTGTCCCCGGCCTTGGTTGGTCGTGCGGGTGGCAGCCACTCGATGTGTCCCTTCACGTCGATGTTTCTCTCTCTCTCTCCCTTCCTCTCTCTCCCTCCCACTCTATCTGTACAAAAAAATGGAAAAATATCCTCGGGTGAGAATAAAAAAAAAACAAAACAAAACAAAAAAAAAACAAAAAACAAAACAATAAACAATGAAAAATCTGTATTTCTAATGGAGAGTGGAAGACAGCTACACTGTGATGACTGTGTTGTCCCAAACCCGAGAATCAAAGTGAATAACACTATCTTCTTTATAAACACCTACACACAGATATTTGAAAATTATGTTAAAAAATAAAACTTCAGAAAAAAAACTATTTGACAAATTCCAAAAACATTAATTCAGAGATTAGATAAAAAGTCTTATCCCAGAAATAAAAATGTTGGGCCTGTTCCAAGAGTGATTTCACTTCTGTGTGAGCACACTGACTTGTCATATGGGGACTTCTGGAAAAAAATGTGTGTGATGACCACCCCTCCAACCCAGACACAGAGGGACGGGGCTCAGTTTCCCACAGTCGTCCTTGTTCATGTGGCCTCTACACTACAAATGTCTTACAGTTTATCAAATTTTTGTAAACAGTGACAGAGCTGAAGAAGATACAGTAGCAAGAGAATATAATTTGTAGCATTCTTTTAAGGCTCATTCAGTGTAACAGTAAACATTTATTAAACAAATACAGAATGTTTCTCATATGTTAAATTTTGAATATTCCATTTATGACAAGATGTGGAAAACCCCTCATACTTACTTTTCAATAACAACATTTGCTGCACAATCGTGTCCAAGATTTTCTATAAAGGTCTGTACGTCCTGAATGAGTCTTTCCATAAAAATAATTTGACAAAGAACAGGTTTTAGACAGAAAAAAAGAATGTCCTCAATTTAAAGTTAACTAATACTTTATATTCTGCTAATTAAAAGCATCAAAAATAAGAGCATTTAACATGTTAGGACAGGTTGAAATAATGACATCTTCACCTCTGATCACGCCTAAACACAGTTCCAAATGTGCAAGCCTCAAGGACCAGCTCGCCGTAACTTTCCGCACTTGATAAAGATCCTTGGGACCCGTTTGAAGCAGGAACTACCCAAGATTGGCAGCAATGAGTTATCAGTGTATTGAAGACTCCACTCTTTACAGCAGACATTTCAATCATCTTGTGCATAATCTGGAACAAAAAACAATGGTCACTGTAACCTTTGACCAAGTTAACTTTTTCCAAAAAAAATTAGTGTTGCTAAAACTGTCATGTGGATGGCTTTAAATGATAGCTCCAACATCAGCATAAATACAGTCTGAAAAATTAAAAATTCTTTCCCACTAGAATTTTGCAAATTTTTAGTAATCACAGAACGTGAATTTTCATTTCTCAATAAGAACTAAATTTTACTGATGGTGACATTCACCTAGAATGGAAGGGAGGAAAAAACACCTCTCCCTGCCGTTTCGGTTTTCTTTCCATTTTGTCAGTGGCCGCCCTTCCCAAGTCAGCAAGGACCTGGGTCGCAGCGTGTGCTGGGCGTCGGGGAAGGACGGACAGGACAGCAGGCTCACAAAGGGGCGTGCGCCCCTCCTGCCCCCAGGACGAAGGCACCGGTGAGTTCCTAGGCGTGGGGTCACTTTGCCCTGTGGGTTCCCCACTGTGAGCGAGTGGTTATAAACGCAAAGGCCCCCAGAAGCCAGGAGGCCCCTGTGGTTCGGGCGTGGTCAGAGAAGCGAATCTCATGCAAGAAAAGCAAGGCGCAGATGCAGTGACAAAGGGCACCTGCCGTCTGCCCTCGTGCCCAGAGGACACGAGGAACGGTGGGCTGGAGAAGGGGACGGCAGGCCCCGCCTGATGCCAGGAGACTGCTGTCGTGTAGGAACACAGCCAGGAAAGCCAGATTTTCCCATTTCCCAAGTCTTCGTGCAAATTTCCCAACTCTTAAAAGCAGGCAACTCATTCAAAGTTTTAAACATTTTATGAACCAGATAACATATGTCTGAGGCAGATGAGGCTCACGGGCCACGTCTGTTCTGCTCTGGCTCAGGGTGCTGGAGGAGGGTGAGGCGTAGCCGACAGGATGAATGGAGAGCAACAAGCTCGCAGCCACAGACGCCACTGCCCTCCCTCGCGCACAACGAGGTCACAGGGCTGACAAGAAAACCACTTTCTTAATTAGATTTACTGGAGTGACATCGTTCAGTGAGATGATACAGGTTTCGACTGCACTTTCTATCTAAAGCAGCCCAATGTGTAGAAGCCGAAAGCAGAGTGGTTACGGGGAGGGGGCAGGGGGGGAGTTAATGGGTCAGCGTCAGCTCCACAAGGTAATGCCCAGAGCTCACCCCGTGTTGTGAAGACACTCACGTCCCTCCGTGTACTTAGGAATGGTTAGGACGGCACATTTCATGTTGTGTGTTTTTTACCCCAATTAAAAGTTACCTCTTTTATTTTAAAATACGCCTGGCCCTTGATTTTTGCAGCAATGGTAAGAACTTTCGTATCAAAAACAAACTGAACAAAAGCTTTCAAACTGGGCCAGAACGTCAGCTGCGTGTTGCTTAAAGAAGACACCGTTCTCCAAGCCGCATCGAAAGCCTCTACGCAGACTGACTCGGAGGAGGCCAGAAGCTGGGAGGGAGAAAAGAGAGAGAGATACGTAACTACCACTTATCTCAGAAGCTGGCATCATCTCAGCTGCTCCCTAGCGCACGCCCACTGCACCCACCTTGGGAACCAGAAGCCGCATGCAGCGCAGCACCGGCAGAACGCTGACCGAGGGGAGAACGGCGAGGGCGGCCACTGCCGCCTGCAACGTCCTGGCCGGCCTCTGAACGGCAGGCAGCCTGGGCTCCGGGAGCTCGCCCTCTGAGGCTGGTACCAGGGTGTGGTGTTTTTTCAACAGAAAAGAGAGGCAGACCCACTGATCGTGAATGTACTGTGCAGCGACCTTCCCCCATCCTTGGGAAGATGACGACTCTTCCAAAAAACTGAAACAGAAACTGAAGTCACTGCCTGTCCTTCCTCAGCCGTCTCAAGTCCACTGGCTGTGTGTCTACCCTTTCAAGGGAGAAAGTCAGCGGTCACCATGAAACATCCCATCTACCAAAAAGCAAGGGAGCACATGAGCCTCAAGCCCCTCTGACCACCAGAGGTGGGCATGTCACCGCCTCTCCAGGAGCCAGGGCCGTGCACGGCCAGCTCCGGGATGACGTGAACACCGCGTGCGTCCGGAGCGGCCCGTCTCCCAGCTGACACGGGCACCTTCCCCACGCCAGCTGAGCAGTAGCTGCGTCTTGTGGACGTGCTGCACCGAGGGGCGCACACACCTGCTCTGCTCCTCCGGGTGCGGCTTCTGCAGCATCCGGTCGAGCTGAAGGGAGGCGAGGAACTGTTCCAGGGGTCCAGTGTCCAGAGAGTGCAGCTGCAGCGCTGGCTTCTGGTCAATGGCCTCACACACCGCGGCCAGGGCAGCCATACTGACCGCCCTCTGGATCTGCCTCCCGAGCGCTGGCCCCTGAGGGGGGAAAGCAGCCCCGGTCACCCAGGAGCCTGTCTCAGCCAGGCAGGGCCTGAGCCGCCTGCCCGTGGGGCTCCCGTGCCCTTTCCCTCCTCCTGCTCCTGCGCATCAGAGGAAGCACAAGGACTCCCAGTGCGCCGCGCGGGCTCCCGCTTTGCTCCAAACTGGCAGCAAACATTCACTGTGGCAGAACCCAGCAGGGCGGACTGAGACAATTAGCTCGCTCCCTCTGGCAGGTGCTTCCCGGGCAGTACTCAGCAGAGCCTGCACCTGTGTGCAGGTTCGGCCTCTTAGCCTGGTCCTACTCTGACACATTTGGATCCAGCAGCCCTGTGGCTGAGTCTTATTTTAACTGTTGGGCTGATGGTTTTAAAAGAGGCTCCAGGCACGTGTAAGCAGCTCCTTCGGTCAGCTGCACGCTGCTCTTGGAAGTGACAAGGCACAGCCATCTGGGACTCAGCGCGTGTGGCTGGGTCAGACGCCGGCTCCGCACTTCGGCCCGCGCGACTGTGGACATGCAGCACCTGGGTGTTCTCCCTGTGAAGGGAGCAGTTATACAGCCTACTCCCAGGGCTCCCTGAAGACTGAATAAATGAAACTCTAATGGGGAAACCAACGGCCTGGCTTCCTACTCAGAAAGAGAAAGTCCACCACCTGCAAGCAAGACGCAGGAGCGCAGGCAGGAAGGCAGACAGCCCAAACAGCTGCACCGAGACCAACAGTCCCCCAGATACTGCCGCATGACACCCGCCAGAGGAACGTCCCGCTCCTGACTCCGTCCTGCTGCTGACTCCGTCCTGCTCCTGACTCCGTCCCTCCCCTCAGCCTCAACATGTCATGTATCTCTGCAAGTAGTTTTACACAGCAACACTGCCAACACACGGAATACGCTCTAGAGTTACTTCTGAGCCATCTGGCCCGTCAACCTGCACGTAATCCCATGAATGGCTAAGAAACAAGCCCACCTTCAAGAATGACCGTGTGGCCCATGGTTCTGGCCCTTCATCTCTCTCATGTACGAATCTACTGGACAGGATGCTGGTCCTTTTTAGGGCAGTTCCTGGATACTGTCAACTAGCAATTAAAGCAATCAAGTAGCTTCACTGTGTTATAATTAGCAGCATGGGCCACGATTCAGGTCGACTTTATTAAACACTTACCACGTGCTCAGTAAAAACAGCTAATGTTTACAGAGGACTTTCCACGCCGCAGGCACCGTTCTAGCATGGATGAGCGGCTTTCACTCCCACACCGCCCGCGAACCCTCACTCTGCAGCTGTGGTCTGTGAGGCACTAGGAAGTCAGTACTTCCCCCAGGTCACGGCTGGCAGGGGTGACACCAGCATTCACCCCTGGAGGTCTAGACGCCAAGCCTGGGCTCACAGCCACCACACCTCACTAGGTCACGTTTAAGAAACATTTCCACGGGCTGAAACCTGGTGGAGACACACACACAAACACTCCAGAAACCAGCGAAAGGAAATAAACCCTCCAGGGGAAGTGTGAGAAGAGGATGAGACCCTGGTCTCTAGGACGTGCTCTGCACGCGGCTCCTGACCGTGTGCTGGGGGGATGTTCTCATGGAGGGCCCGACGGAGTGACCGTGTGTGCTGGGGGGGGACGTTCTCATGGAGGGCCCGACGGAGTGACCGTGTGTGCTGGGAGGGGGACGTTCTCATGGAGGGTCCGACGGAGTGACCGTGTGTGCTGGGGGGACGTTCTCATGGAGGGCCCGACGGAGTGACCGTGTGTGCTGGGAGGGGGACGTTCTCATGGAGGGCCCGACGGAGTGACCGTGTGTGCTGGGGGGGGACGTTCTCATGGAGGGCCCGACGGAGTGACCGTGTGTGCTGGGGGGGACGTTCTCATGGAGGGCCCGACGGAGTGACCGTGTGTGCTGGGAGGGGGACGTTCTCATGGAGGGCCCGACGGAGTGACCGTGTGTGCTGGGGGGGGACGTTCTCATGGAGGGCCCGACGGAGTGACCGTGTGTGCTGGGAGGGGGACGTTCTCATGGAGGGTCCGACGGAGTGACCGTGTGTGCTGGGGGGGACGTTCTCATGGAGGGCCCGACGGAGTGACCGTGTGTGCTGGGGGGGGGACGTTCTCATGGAGGGCCCGACGGAGTGACCGTGTATGCTGGGGGGGGACGTTCTCATGGAGGGCCCGACGGAGTGACCGTGTGTGCTGGGAGGGGGATGTTCTCATGGAGGGCCCGACGGAGTGACCGTGTGTGCTGGGGGGGGGATGTTCTCATGGAGGGCCCGACGGAGTGACCGTGTGTGCTGGGGGGGGGATGTTCTCATGGAGGGCCCGACGGAGTGACCGTGTGTGCTGGGAGGGGGATGTTCTCATGGAGGGCCCTTCGGAATGACAGGTGCTGGGGCCTGTGCAGCCCCACCTGGCAACCCAGCGTGAAGCAGCAGAGCAGTGGGGATGGTGATGTCAGACAAGGAGGCAGGTGGCCAGGCTGGGGCTGTGGACACAAAGGGCCCTTCCTGGCCAGGAGCACAGGCCCAGGACAGCCCCCGTCTGGACCTGAGGACAGGAAGAGTGGAGTCGCCCCACTTCGCTAAGTGCCTAATGAACGGCATCCCCATCCGCATCAAGTATGTCACACAAAGGAAGTTGTTTTAAAAACTATGTTTCAGCAGATGCTATTTGTGGTATAAAATTACTGTGTAATAATCAAATATTCAACAGGACGACAAGCCCTGAATCACAGAGGGTTACCTGTTCACTGTCGGTGTCCCGAAGATGGCGAATGGACGCCTTTTTCAAAGGAGCAATGACTCTCCCGATGAGGTGCCCTCCCGTCCCCCCCTGCACGTGGAGATCGGTGAGCTCAGCGAAGACCTGCAGGTACAGGCGGCAACGATCCAGGTCTGAAACCTAAGAGACGATAGAACACTGAACGGGCAGGGTCCACGACTTTCACTGAACTGAGAGTCCAGGCAGGAAACGGTTAAAAGCACTGAAAGGACACACTGATGAGAGAAAGAGTCATCTCCCCAGGAACCTTCCATACTGTCCCGGGGAGGCAAGGGCCTTCTTCCTGAGGGTCCACCACCTCACAGGCCATGAGTGACCGGCTCCACCTGCATTACGAGCCCCAGGGAGGCAGAAACGGCTCCGCCAGTTCTTGCGCTTCAGGTGAACACATGGTCAATAACCACAATCACCACAATGACCACCTCCTGTTTCGGGCACATCAGCACACTCCACTCACCAGGAGGCAACCATCCCCTTCCCTAAGGCAACGGCTGTTTCTGAGAAGTTACACAACCTGCCTGGCACCTCAGAGCCGGTGAGGGGGACAGAATGAACCTCGTGGACCCAGGCAGAACGGGGCTCCGTCCGGTGCCACCCCTCACCGGCTCTGGGACTATGGCTCGCTAGCCGAGACCCGTAGGCTCAGTTCCTTGTCCACACCATCGGAGGGTACATGTCTCCACCACAGGGCTCTGGGAGAACCAAAAGGAAGTGTGGCTGGCACTGAGGGGTTATGACTGGGCTCGGGCTCTGTCACTATGCCCGTCACTGCACACTCAGGCCTGGGACGGCACGGAGGACGCACACACTTCAGCTCCGACGTCTCACTGAGCCCTGCTGCCTGCTGGGCGCTCCACCAAGCGCCAGGACCACGCGGGGCTCGAGGTCCAGGCTCCAGAGCTGGTGGATGACAGACCCCTCAGTGAGAGGGAACCTGAAGACGCTCCTGGGAGAGGAAGGGTCCCCTGTGAACAGCTGAGTGTGAGCAGTTCAACCGGAGTTGTCAGCAGCAAGTGGCTGAATGGCTGTGAAGGTCAGAAGAGGGCTGGGTGGAGAGAGGGGAGGGCCTGGAAACAGGCAGCTGGGACACAGATGCCTCCCTGGACAGGCGAGGAAGGGGCGGGGCCAAGCTTCAAGCTCCTGGGCTGGGTGCTGAGGGGGCGGGGCCAAGCTTCAAGCTCTTGGGCTGGGTGCTGAGGGGGCGGGGCCAAGCGTCAAGGCCCTGGATGAGGGGGCGGGGCCAAGCTCCAAGCTCCTGCTTTCAAAACTACAGGGCAGAGGACGAACATTCTGAAGAAAGTGGGAGCAATGGCCAGAGAGATGAAAAAACCTGGACAGGACGAGGTCACAGCGGCTAATGAGGGGGCGTGTTTTGAGGGGGCCTGGTCAAGTGTCCAGTGGGGCCAAGGGGTCAAGAAAAACACAGGAGCTGCTGTGCCGGAGGCGGCCTGAGAACAGCGGGGCATCTGCTGGGGAAGCTGTGCTGCCTCCAGGGAGCCTCCGGAGAGGAGAGGAGAGGTGGGAGACGGAGGATCCAGAGTCCAAGTCCTCGAGAAGCTGGGACGGGAGCAAACCCGGAAGCCAGACTCAACTGCAGCAGGAAGGCTGAGCGTCCTCAGGCCAACCTGAAGTCTGACGTGGAGGTGAGCCTGCCCAAGGGCATAATTCCCTCCGGAAAGTAACCCGAGGCCGCAGGGTACGGGCGCCTCTCGACTCAGAGACCTCAGGTGGCCGGAGACCGCCGTGGACAGACACGCCAGCCACGCGGTGTCCCTGGCAGTCGCCCTGCAGCACTGGCCACACACCGCCGAGGGGAGGAGGATGGGGAGAGGTCCCTATTAGACTCTAAGCTGCCCAACAAATACCGACTTTACTTTTTAAAATCTTTGCATCTTGCCCTGGCTGGTTTGGCTCAGCGGTTAGAGCGTCGGCCTGTGGTCCAGAGAGACCCGGGTTCGGTTCCCACTAAGGGCATGCACCTCCGTTGCAGTTTGTCCCCGGCCCTGGCTGGGTTGTGAGGGTGGCAACCACTCGATGTGTCCCTTTCACATCGATGTTTCTCTCTCTCTCTCCCACTCTATCTGAACAAAATATCAAAAAAAGAAAAAAAAAAGAAAATCTTTGCATCTAAAAGATAAAGTCACATTAACCTTTCCCTTTTCAAACCTACTTTAGCTTCAAATTCCAAACAAACAAAAACACTTATGTTATACTTCTTTGTGTATATCTAAAATTTCCATAATCAAAATGTAAAACTAATAAAGTGATACTGGAGCAAAACAAACAAAACAATTACAATTTCAGTTTACTTCAAAGTGAACATGCCTCACTCAGGTTTTTCCTTATAGTTCCTTGCCTTCCCATCATAACATCACAAATCTTTCAGTATAGAACTTGTCTTTTTATATCTGCACACCTGCTTATCAGCTATCAAAGAAATGTACTTAATTGAGTATTCTAATAAAACTTGTTAAAGTATATTTTCTTACATTATTGATAATTTAATAATTCTAATTGCTTCAACATTTATCCCTAGGGATTTCAACCAAAAATAATCATAATAATAATAAAAATAAAAATAGGCATTTCTATAAGAATGGTATTTTAAAAATATTCATAAAGCCTGGCCAGTGTGGCTCAGTGGTTGAGCATCGATCCATGCACCAAGAGGTCGCAGGTTTGATTCCCAGTCAGGGCACGTGCCCAGGTTGTGGGCCCGATCCCCAGTGTGGGCACGGATTGATGTTCTCTCTCATCAATGTTTCTCTCTCTCTCCCTCTTCCTTCCTCTCTCTCTCAAATCAATAAAGAAAAAAAATTTTTAAATATTCATGAAGAAAGGGGGAAACTTATTAATAAATTTCAGATGTCCTAGAAAGAACAGATTATGTGGGGAGGAAAGACAAAGAAAATAGGTACATTCAACCTGGCCGTGTTGGCTCAGTGTTGAGAGCATCGACCTGCAGACCAGAGAGTTGTGGGTTCGATTCTGATGAAGGGCATGTGCCTTGGTTGCGGTTCGTCCGTGGCCCTGGTCAGGGTCATGCGGGAGGCAACCAGTCAATGTGTCTCTCTCACATCGATGTTTCTCTCTCTCTCCTTCTTTCCCTCTCTGAAGATAAATGGAAAAATATCCTCGAGTGAGGATTAAAAGAAAGAATTAAAAAAAAGAAAGGTACATTCACCAAGCATCTCACAGACACTGTTCCCAACCCTAATTCATTTCAGTCACTCACGGAGCTTTAAACCTGGTCCCATTACAAACCTGCCAAATCAGAGTCTCCGGGCCTTGGGGCCAAAGGTGCGAAGATGTGCTAAGTAATACAAACGTGCCAGGCTGTCTGAAACTCCCTAAACCCTCACAAGTAGATTTTCTCCATTTTGCAGATGAGAAAACTGAGGCTCAGTAAAGCTACATAACTTTCCCAAGGTCACAGTTACTACCTAGAGGGACCTGGAACCGGGAGACTCTGAAGCTTTCTTCTGCTTCCTAAGGCTGCCTCTCGGGAAAGTGCAGTAAGGAGCTTCCTCAGCGCCGGCCGCCAGCAGCCACGCAAGCTGCCGGAGCGGGAGGAGCCCGCTGTGTACTCACACTGCTCAGTTCATTCGCAGTGAGTCTCCGGAGCAGAAACTCGGAGACGCTCTCTGTAGTGGACATGACCAAGTCCTGAAGGGCAGGCGACACCTCATCTGTATGGGGAGAAAGAATGCAGCTAAATGACAGAAGTAGGTTGTTTGGTACAAAATACACCGGAGTCTAGTACAAGTACAGCTCTGCTAGGCACATGGATGAGTGACTTACCGAAAGTGGACTCCAATAACTCAGTAGCCATCAGATACCGCAGGGCACCCGCCACTAACCTTGGACACCCTTCGGGGTCTGGTCCGGAGGAGCTGCCTCAGGGACGCACCACCCCCTCGACTACCAACCCGGACGGAAGAGCTGCAGCCGTGCTTAGACACGGGGAGGGTACAAAGGCCGACAGGCGGAGGCAGCGGGGCGGGCGCGGGCAGTCTCCTCTGCCCTGCAGGCTGGAGCTGCACGCAGCAGCCGCCAGGGAGTGCAGGCGGCCCAGGGGACCAACAGCCAGTCTGCAGGGGAACCCGCGGGGGCACACGGGAAAGTGGCCCCAGGAAGTGGTTTCTGACACTAGGCTGCATGGGCCTGACCCCACTCGGCAAACCAGAGGCTTTCGGAGGTGACTAACGGAGACGGCGGCCCAGGTCCTGGCCGGCCAATGAGCACTGCGGCTCAGGGCCAAGGACGGAAACAAAGCTGCAAGGAACCAACACCACAGAAGCAGGGCCGGAACAGGGGCCTCAGCCCAACCAGGCTGACTGTGCTGAACCAAACACCACGCTCTCCACAGGACTGAAACGAGACCCAGTCTCCTCGCACAGTGGCCGAGACGTCTAGCTGTGCCCACCATGACCACGCACAAGCAGCCCCAGGAGCGCCACGGAAAAGCCAGCCACAAACCACGCAGAGGCGACGTCACGCTCACGTCAGAACAACGTGACGTAGACTTTAAAGCAGCGATTTATAAAAATGCTTCAACAGTTAATCAAGGACACTCCTGAAAGAAACGGAAAAATAGAAAACTCAGCAAAGAAATAAGTTAAACACAAAAAACAGATAGAAATTTTGTAATTGAAAAGTACAATAACTCAAATTAATAGTCACCCCAATAAATTTAATAAAAATAAATACAGTTAAAATTTTAAAACTCACTGGCTGGGTCCATCACAGGAAGGAGACGCAAGAGAAAAGCCAGTGAACTTGGAAGCAGGTCAGTGAGACATGACCCTGAGCAGCAGGTGAAGAAAGGGACTGAACACAGAGCCAGAGGCCTGCGGTGGTAACAGGCCAGTTCTCATGTCCTCAGAGTCCCAGAGGAGAAAAGACTGGTGCTGAAAAATATTCGAGTAAAAAACTTGGTTGAAAATTTTCCGAATTTGGTAAAGGGAATAAGCCTACAAATCCAAGAAGTTCAGGGAACTTAAAAATTAAGCGCAAAGAAAGTCACGCCCAGACAGCTTCACCAAACCGCTGAAACAAAGCGCGAAGAAACGCCCGTGGAGTGCAGGAAACAACACGTCTCGGGGAGCACTGTCTGCACCCCCCAGAGCCCTCATGGGGACCACGGGGCCAGCAGCAAACCGAGCACTTTAAACTGCTGAAGAAAAGATCAAACGAGAACTTACATCCAGTGACAATATCCTTCAGAAGTGAAACAGGGACCAAATAAAGGAAACTAAGAGAATTCACTGCCAACACCCCTGTTCCAAAACAAATACTAAAAGGTGTTGGTTTTTTAGTGTTTTTTTTGTTGTTGTTGTTAATCCTCACCCGAGGACATTTTTCCATTAAATTTAAAATTTAAGTCAGACCTTATCACTCCTCAGCTCAAAACCGTCTCATAAAAACTATCTCCTTAAAATAGGCTGCAAAGTCCCACACAACAGCCATCACCTGCTTTAGGTCCCAGAATTCATCTGGGACAACTCCTCCCTCGGGCCTCGTACAGCCAGCACTCGCACCGGGCCCTCGCCTGACCAGCTCCTTAGGCCTGGGCTTCAGTGTTCCCTGCAGACTGAGCCTTTCCGGCCAACCTCACTAATGTGCGCCGAGCCCCCGCCCCACGCGCCGTCCCACTCTCCCTGGCTGGGTCCTGGCAACCTATCAGACTGCCACACTGACTGCTGGGGCGGGAAGGCAGTCTGCCCAGGCAGGACTGCTGTGCCCCCTTCGGGCTGGGCGCTGGTGCTGGGAACTGTGCGCACGGACCCCACACCAGACACAGGCTCTCCTCCCTGGAGCCAGCATCCTCACAGGAACGCAACGCCTGCACAGAAACTGCCACGTGAACGAGGAGGAACCGCACCGAACCATCCGCCCTCCAAACGATGTCCTCACCTCACTTCTTTCTTCCTGAGTCACCCCAGCTTCAATAGGTTTTAAAAGACAAAGAAAAGAAAGCAAAGAAGAAGGAAGAACAGGACACAGAGGGAAGCCAATGGCCTGCGCACTTGCTCAGACAGACCTAAGGGGCTGGGTGATGGGTGAGTGAGGATTTATTATGGTATCTCTATTTTCTGTATATTTAAAGATTTCCATAATAAAACACTAAAAGTTAAACTTAAAGAAGTTTAAAACAATAAAGTCAAAGTTGCCCAGAACAGCAGCACCTCCAGACCTCCACCTCACCCACTGAGTACAGCCAGACGTACAGCCTCTCTCCACTGTCCACTGACCCTTACACAGGTAACTGACTCCTAGCCTGTTTGCTCATTTATAAAACGGAAATAACTATTTTCCCCTTCTCTCATCAGACACCTTCCAGGCCCTGGCCCGCGTGTCTCGTGCACCAAGAGGCTGCCGGTTCGATTCCTGGTCAGGGCCCATGTCCAGGTTGTAGGCTTGGCCCCCCCGTGAGGGGCGTGCAGCTGATTCACGTTTTGCTCTCACATCAGTGTTTCTCTCTCTCTCCCTCACCCCCTCCTTCTCTCTCTAAAAATCAATAAAAATCATTTTTTAAAATATATTTTTCAGGATTAAGATTTAAAGCTAATTAAAACTTGATAGGTTTAGCAGCTTTACAGAAGTCAACTGCCATCCAATATAATAGGTGTTTCTTTGAGTCTCTCCTGGTAACATAAAGAGATCTGCCTGGGGGGCAATGGGAACGCTACTTTCTTCAGGTCGAACAGAATGTGTCCATAACTCCTTGGTAAAACTATTATTCTTTATCTTATCAGCTAAACATGCACACACCCTAAGAACATGAACATGAACAGGCCCTGGGGAGACTCACACAGGCCCGGGGGACACCTGTGAAGCACTGTGCAGCGCCCACTGAGCACGGCCCGGTGTCCCGCCACCGCAGGCAGGCCGTGTGGTCAGCATACCGTGCCGTCACACAATGGACCGGGTGAATCTCAGAAACATGTGAAGTGAAAACAGTCACAGAACACTTCTTCCAGTAAAATAGCATTTCTATAAAGTTCACAAACAAGAAAACATATTGTGAGAACTAGCTATATATGTGGTGAAAATACTTTTAAAGTACCCAGAAGTAATAAAGATGGAGCAGATGGCGGAACAACAGATACCCCAGTCCCTAGGCTGGAGGCCAGTTCTCAGGAGTGTATTTCGCATCATAACATCTATAAGCTCCTGTGTATCAACTATCACAACATCTCCCAGAAGGCATCATGGCCCAGTGCTACACTCGAAAGTGCTGACCCTAGTCAAAGTCAAGACATGTCAAATGAATCCAAATGTATGCTCTTACAGAGCTGAAAATCTTAGAAAAAGTCACTGTTACGTGTACAGCATTTGGTTCTGCTACTGTTATCAAAAATATCACAACTGGGAAACTAGTTTTACTCTTTCATAAGCATAATCAGAACTAACCTCGACACGGACATGAGGCTGGGGAAGGTAGGAGGGGAAAGGGAGCAGGAAGGAGAGGGTCAATGGGGCAGCGGTGGGGGACGACTAACCTCATCAATATTATCCTCAGGTTTAACCTAACACCAGTGTTTCTCTAGAATATGTTTAAAATTTAAATGTCTTCAATTCCCAGTGAAATTGGTCAGAAAGGATCAGGAATCAAGGTTTACCCACACATATGCTCATCTCTGATGTCCAATGGATTTTTCAGCTGCTGATTTCTATACATCTTGGTTTAAGGAGGGAAAAAGAGCTCAATGCTTACATCCACTACTGTGAGACTTTCCCTGTGAAGTATCTTCTACTCAAAGGGGATCAGAGATTAACATATTGTTAAAAATTATAAAATTAGCCCTGGCCGGTTTGGCTCAGCGATTAGAGCATCGGCCTAATGGGTTGCGGGTTCGATTCCAGTCAAGGGCATGTACCTCGGTTGCGATTTGTCCCCGGCCCTAGTTGGGGTCGTGCGGGAGGCAGCCACTCGATGTGTCCCTTTCACATCAATGTTTCTCTCTCTCTTTCTTCCTGTCTCCCTCCCACTCTATCTGAACAAAAACATGGAAAAATGTCCTCGGGTAAGGATTAAAAAAAAAAATTATAAAAGTGTTGCCATTCTCATGTTTTAGCTTCCTTTCTGCAACATCCAGCCTAAGGCAATTAGAAATGAATCCGGCTTTAGCACACATGAAATAGTGATAGTTTTCATTGGTATACAGAGCAAGCATAAATAAAAAAATAGCCAATGAAGTCACATTTTAAAATCGACAGTAACCAACAGATGTAAACACCAGAATGTCAGCTCCCTGAACACAGAGCTCTGATCCTTCCTGCCTGTCCCAGCACAGCAGCAGATACCTGACCTGGTAAGCACCTGCTGAATGCATGGAGTGGTCTTTTTATTTTAAAAGGTCAGGAGTGTCCTTTCACTTAGACACCAACACTCGACCACCTGTCCTCACCGTCCAGGGCCCGGGAGCCTCTCGGCGAGCAAGTGTGCAGCAGCGTCACCAGCAGCTGGAGGCACCTGTCGGCTCTCAGCACGGGCAGGTAGGCGTTTGTGCCCAGCTTCACCAGGGCGTCCAGAAGAGGGTCCAAGAACATCCTCAACACATTCTGTGTTTTCCGCCTTCCACTAGACATAGAAAACATGCCAAATCAAGCATTTCAAAAGCATAAATAAATTATTTTCCAACTGTACTTGGTGGAATTGGTTAACTGATGGACTCAATTGGACAAACCGCTCCGGTGGATGGTCCTGACCCCAGCACCTCCTTAGCACTGAGCCCCCCACCTGCTCGCCAGCCTCCGGGCTGCACTCTCCCGGGGACAGCAGAGTCACACGGAAAGCACAGGGAAGAACAAGTGTGGGCAGCTCTGGGCACTCCTAGGGCGATTTTATTTGCAAATTAAAATTCTGAGAGCCCACTTCCCCAATTAAAAAAAACAAAAACAAATGCTAGGCAAGGAGATGAGACATGTTAACATATACATATGTACCTTTTCAAATAAAGAATTAAGGATTTACGAAAAACTGTTAAATGCCCAGAAAAGATGTAATGTTACCCAAATTAACTTATTATCATGCAAACACATGACCTAAGGAAACTGCTTTTTGCAATTCTAATCTCAGAGATCTGATCTGCTCACATTCTGAAAATATGAAATTGTTTTATCTTTATTCTTTTTTTAATTACACATTTTACTAAGGAATTAAATCCAGTCAATTTCTTCACTGACTCTTATGCTAGAATCTTATAACCCATTTTTCTAATGTTCTTATGTAAAACCAGTGGTTACTTCTCTGACAGTTTAACTTGCCAACCTAACGGCCCTTGTTATTACTGATTTACTGTTAACGAGTAAGTCACCTGCTGCCCGTGTTCCAGTTCCTTCCTTTGATGCACTGGGGTCAATTCCATGCTGAGGTGGAAGCGCCTGAGCACCCACCATGCACCTGAGCAGCCTGTGTCTGGAAGCTGCTCCAAGTGCAGAAACGCTCACCTGCGCTGACTCTCCACCGCTGCCACGTCCACAGCCAGCGCGACCATCAGGGCCACAAGCCGGGCTTCAGCCCAGTCAGGCACCCAGCAGTCTTCTCCCGCTGCAGAATGACAGGCAACGTTTGCAAAGCGTCAACAACCCTTCGACAGGAGGCCACAAGAGCCCAATGACTGTGTGTCACCAATACTAAGTTATCACAGAACTACACACTTAAATGTGAGTGGCCACCAACCTCTGATGGCCACTCACTCCCGACCTGACCCGGCGTCGCTGTGCTCACAGAATGTGCGGGGCAGCAGAGGAAGCTCCCACCCAGGAACATGCAAAGAAACGCAGAGTAGCTGTGGTGAGTGCTTTAATGGCGCTGGCAGAGTGAACACTGGGAGGCTGTGCCCTGGTCTGGGGAGTAAGAGGAAGTCACCAGGAAGAAATGACCGCTGGGCCGAGTGTGGCAATGGAGAAGGACTGAGACGGGAAGGGAGACGAGACCTCTGCAGACAGCAGGGACAGGCAGAGAGTGCACCACACTCCAGGAAGCGGACGGGCGCCTGGGAGGCTGGGGGTCACTGAGAGGAAGAACAGAGCTGAGGTCACAGAAGCAGGCGGAGCAACGAGGGGCGCAGAGGCCATGAGAGGATTCCGTCTGCCCACAGGCGAGTGGAAGCCACGAAGGGACACGGGCGGCCGGCACACCGGCTCCAGTGCGCCTCACGGACAGCACGCATGGTGCAGTCACAGGCCTGCGCAGCCCCCGTGGGAAGTCTCCCAGCTCCACTTGCCAGCAGCATTCGCTCGCTGTGGTCTCCGGGTCGCGTTCTGGTCATTCCTGCAGCTTTTCAAACTCTCATCACCACTGTATTTCTACGATCAGCGATCATGATCTCGAATGCTACAACTCTAACTGTTCTGGGCACCACGACTGTACCCACGTAAGACAGCAAACTATGGTTGATCACATCCCTTGGAAGCCTGACAAGCCTTTACTGCTGTTTCCAAACATCTCACTTCCTGTGATTCAGAAAACCTGTTCTGAAAGCTCGTCAGCACTTTTGTTTGATGTTAGTTCTGTGTGGTTTTGTTGTTGTATACGTCATATATACACCTATTTCACTCCATCCTTTTCTCTTACCATTCCCCCTGGGCTCCATGCCACAGACAGACAAACGGACGGACAGAGCGAAGCCTCTTACCTCCGGTCCCTGGATTCAAGCACACGGAAGCCCTGGTGCTTTCCCACATTTCACATTCATTTCTACTCACTCCCCTGCCCCTGCAGGTCCTGTTCTGGACAGGTCCCCCCCGGTGCTGCTGTCCTTCAAGGCCCTGCCTAGGATCAGCTCACTCGTCAGCCCCTGCTGGGTTCTGCGCTGGGTTCTCGCTGGCTGAGGACAGGGCACGTATCTTTCATCCCCGTTACTCCCCTGCCTGACTCAAAGAAGACACGTGGTATGTGTCTGCTGAGTAAACAGTGTGAGGTCTGCCCTGCTGACTATGCCAGCGCCCAAAGGAAGAGCTTCAGATGTGTGATCTGGTTGAAAATAGTGCTCTGACTGATGAGTCGTTCTGTAAAAACAAATTTTAAGGTATCTGATGCTCAAAAACTCAAGCTAAACAGTATTTGCTTGGGAATTTATTAACTTATTCTGAAAAAAAAGCCCAGTAACTGATAACTAAACTAAAATTTTATAAAGGCACTTAGCAGAGGGCATTAGTAAGTTCAAGAAAATATTAAATGCATACACACACACACCTCCTCTGCACTTAAAATTAGTTTTTAAAATACTTTAAATAGCAGATTATGTTAAACAGTATATTTTAAGTCCTAGAAATGTTAAGAAAGAAACTCTAAAAATCTTGTTTCATCCAATTTTGACTATTTAATCAGATCTGATGCCGTTATACACTCTGAGTTATAAACTAAGCTTATTTTAGGGGTTTAATCTATGTTCAGGGCAGCAGGGACTAAAATTCATTTATTTTTATAGGCCTAACAAAAGAATCTTCCAAGTAACAGCACAGAAAATTTACTAGACAATAAAATAAAACACAAAAGAGAAATGTTTGCAGGAGAACAGATACTCTCACATATTTGGGGAGAATAATTCTCTGATCATTTAAGAGCTAGTCCATGATCAGAGCAAGAGAAATCAGTAAGCGAAAATGACTTGGTCTGAAACAATCTAGGAAATTTAAGACACATGAAATTCAAAGATGCAATCTACCCAAACAATCACTGATGACCCGACGGAGAGGAAGCAGCAGAAACGTAGAGAATCCTAACCCTGCTCTGCGACCAGCCCACCCGCACCCACAGAGCAGCTGCAAGACCCATCTTTCTCTGCAAAGTGTCTGGCAAAAAGAAAAACTAACAAATCGTCCTTTCAACAATTTTTCTCTAAAATTACTTGTCATAATCAATTCACACTAAATGTAACACTTTGAAAACAAACCAAAGATGAACTGATTCCTCTACAAATATTCCTACTTCAGGAGCCCCCAAAACACATCTGCAATCTCCAGCCCGCGATACATTTGGTAATTATGAAATTAGTTAATAGATTTATTTGTGTCCAATTCCTACTCTGGCAACTTGTTCAACTCCCAAATCCTGGAACAGATGAAGTAAAGTTGGGGAGCAGTATTTTACATTCTGCTATTCACAGCGTTTGGCTGAAAAGCACGTCTCAAAGCAGCAAACTGACAGGCATTTGGTAAAGCCCAAAGCTTGATCTGAAAACTAGTTCAACGTTCTTTGAAAACTCTTTGGTTGTACCGGTCCAGAAAAAGGATTTCAGACTTACTGTCCCAAGCAGGTGACTTCACATACTCTTGAACCAGGTTCCTGACATAAGCATTCAAGGGGCACGTCTCCTGAGGTCCAACGGGGCTATGAGCTGAGGGTCGGCCAAAGCCATTTTCATTAACACGCAGCCAATCACAGAGCTAGGAAAGACAACAGTCGTTACTTTACTTTAAAAACCTAACCAAACTAAGGTTTTCTAATTTCCCAAAGCCAATCTTTTTCTTCCACAATAAACTGAATTTAAATGACTGAACACAAGAAGGTAATAACATTTACTGCCATGGCTGAATTGCACAGATAGTGTCCGCAGAAAAAAGTGTGTGTGTTCTCTCCTCTCCACCCAAGACTTAACAAACTTCACTAACAGGCAAGAACTTCTGAAGTACCTAATATAAAATGCACATTATGATAATGTATTCTAAAGAACATGTCTGTGAAAAATAGCACATTATGTAAAACCAATTACAACCTTACATTAAAATCGATTCTAGCTTCACATACTAAAACAAGGATGTTTGTTTTGAGAGAATGTAGAATTTGAAATGTAAGTTATAATTAAAGTTCCTACCTCCTCACAAGTTTACTTTCTATCACATGTGATTTTAAAATATATTAATTTAAGAAAGAAATTCTGTGCTAGTCTTTCTCCATCATACCTTTCAGAAGATTTGCTGAACTTCACAGAATTCATCTCTGATCACATCGTTGTGAATTTTGTTCTGAAATCTATGTTTCCAACTTTCTTTTTACAATATATCTTAATGTGCAAATTCATACATAAATTTAATTATGAAGTAAATAATTATGTCTTTCTAAAAGGTAAGGATTTTTTAAAAAAATATTGTTTGCATCCATTAAGGTAACCCAAAATTACAAGTAAGGAGTCAAGATAATAATGAATGAAATAATAATACATCACTTGACCAAGGACAGAATTGATGAATGAATAAGTCAGTCAAGACTAAATGGACATTCCGTAAGACCAATGAATGAGCAGCCCAGCAACACTGAAGGAAGTTGCTCTGTGTAGGTCTTTATCAAGCAGGTCATCTTAAAATAGAATCTAAGAGTGAGGTCAGCTAATATTTACCTTTCCACAGTATAAACTTTTTCTTTATATTCCTCTCAAACTGGCCAGACTAAGTTTCTTAATTACTGCTATAAAATATGTGATTTTCCAAATCTTGTATTTCTATAAGTACAATGCTATTATAACAGAATTACAGAACTAAGCTCAAATTAATATTTGATTCTTTCCCTCTATCAAATCTGTCACAAAGTTCGGAATATTTCCCAGCAGAGTCTTCATGTCAGACTGGTTTAAACGGCATCTAACTAGCGGTCCCTGGTGCACAGCTTCCCTTGATGGCCCATTAAAACACGAGTCTCGACAGTCTGTTTGGACACTGTCAAGAGAATGAGAAGATGAGCCAACGACAGAGAGAAAATATTTGCAAAAGACACATCTGACAAAGGACTGGTACCTAATATGTACTCTTAAAACTTAACAAGAAAACAAACAATCCAATTTCAAACCGGGCAAAAGATCTGAATGAACACTTCACCAAAGAACTTAAGAGTACAGATGGCAAACAGCATGTGAAAGATGCCAATATCATAGTCATTACATATTGCTAATGAAAACAACGAGTTTTCCAGCCGCTGTGGCTCAGTGGTTGAGCGTCAACCCTGCATCAAGTGGTCGCCAGTTTGACTCCTGGTCAGGGCACATGCCCAGGCTGTGTGCCAAATCCCCGGTAGGGGGCATGTAGGAGGCGGCCAATCCATGTTCTTTCTCATCAATGTTTCTATCTCCCTCTCTCTCCCTAAAATCAATAAAGAAAAAATTTTTAAAAAACAACAACGACAACGAGCTACCACTACACATCTAATCAAGTGGCAGAAATCCAGAACACTGGCAAAACCGAATGCTGGTGAGGACGTGGAGCGGCAGGAACACACTGTCACCGCTGCAGGGGATGCAGACAGAGCAGCCACTTTGGAAGACAGCTTGGCAGTCCCTTACTAAACTAAACATACTCTTACCATGCAATCCAGCAACTGTGCTCCTTGGTATTTACCCAAATGACTTGAAAAGTTGTGTCCGCACAAAAACCTTCACATGAATGTTTATGGCAGCTTTATTCATAATTGCAAGAATTAAGAAGTAACCAAGATGTCCTTCACTAGGTGAATGGGTAAATAAACTGAGTACATCAGACTATGGAGTACTATTCAGTGATAAAAAAAAAATTGAAAGACATGGAAGAACCTTAAGGTGTTACTTAGAGAAAGAAGCCCATCTGAAAAGGCTTCACAATGTATGATTCCAACTATATGAGAGTCTGAAAAAGGCAAAACCATGAAGGCAGTGAAAACATCAGTGGTTGTCAGGGGTTTGGGGGGCGAGAGGGGAGGGGTGGACAGGCAGAGCACGGGATTCTCAGGGCAGTGACACCCTCCTGTATGGCACTGCAATGGCCAAAGCCACAGAATGCACAACACAGAGAACCCCAGTGTCGATGGCAGACATTAGCTAGTAACAGCGTTTCTCCTGTAAAAACGTGCCTGCTAACGCACAGTGTGAAAACAGGGGCGCTGTGGGTGGCCAGGGGACCGGTGAGGGTTACAAGCAGTCTCTATAGTGTCTGCTCAATTTTTCTATAAACCTAAAACTACACTAAAAAACAAAGTATATTAATTTTTAAAAATTACTTAGATTGAGCTATATGAAATTGTTAACTTATATTTCTGTAAGTTAAAAATGACTAAATACCAATGATTCTATGACTCAACATAATACACCAGATTTACACTATATAGCTAAAGTTACAGAATATAGCCAGTCTACCCTAAGATACACATACCCTGTATGTGTGCTTTTGTTATTAACCAAACAGAAAGAATTAACACTGGTCTCGAGTATAAACCACACGGCCACATTTATTTGCTAACCACTGTATTCCCAAACTTAGCACAGGGCTGGGGTGTGGGATGTGTGCGATAGTCTCCAGTAATTAAATTCAAGACACTGAGAGATACGGTAAACATGCTAAAAGAAAATAAAAGAAAAAAGTGAAGACAGACATTGATGAGTTAGACAACTGAAAATTAGCTGGAACAAAATTAGCTGGAATAAAGACACCAAGGGCTGGCTCATCAAACCGAGGGGAACAGACAACAGTGGTCCCAGGTGCTCACACCTACGGCGGAGCACGTTGGAACGTTGTACATCCATGTCCTCATCTAAGTCTCGAAGCTCAGATCACGTACCACATGAATTCCAGAGGCACCAACCACAACTCACAAATTACACATATCAATGCAGCAAATAAACCTTATTTGGATACTTTAAAAAGTTGAATATTTGAACAAACAAAATTCAAGAAACAAACAGAAAAGCACGTCTACTGGACATCTGGAAAAGTGTAAACACTAGATATTTGAAATTAAAAAATTGTTAACATTTTTAGGGGTGAAAAGGGCCTATTTTGGGTCCTTTGAAAGTCCTTACTTTTTAGCAGTACATACTCAAATGTTTATATATGAAATGATAAATCTTGAAATTAAAGTCCAACAAAAGGAATTGATTAAATAAATTCTAAAACATTTAATCGATTGAACTTTTAAATATCACATACGGGAAACAGCAACATGTTAAAATGCTCAAATATATGTAAAGATGAAAAAATAAAATTCAAAACAATAATTTTAATTTTGTTTAGAAATATCACATATACTAATATATCAATTTAAATATACATATATAGTGAGAAAGCAAGAGTGAGACTATATATATTCAAAATATTAAAAACTAAACCCCAAAATATGTGGGCACTGCAGGTGATTATTATTTTCTTTAATGGTTCTGTATTTTTCAGTTCCACATAATTATATGCATTATGATCCAGAATATAAGCTATAATTCTAATTCTTAAAGACCCTAATTGCCTGATTCCTTCTGCCATTGCCCTAACCTACACTCTCCTTATTTTATGCCTGACTTACTTTAACGTCGTCTAAGCTGATCTCTCTTGCTTCTCTCTATGCAGACAGAGCCAGAATTACCTTCTAAAAGGTAATTCCCTAGCCTCAGTGATCTCTTAAGCACTGGAGAAACACAAAATTTAAAAAAAAAAAAAGGTTCCTATACTCAAAAAAACACATCACCTAGAGAGAACACAGTAGCATTCAACCAAGGATATAATGGATAAGAGCTAAAAGCAGCAGCGTGAACTGAGTCCCACCATCTAAAACAGAACCAAGAGGAGGGCAGGAGCCCGGAAGAGTGGAGCCCTCAGCCCACAGCAGGCTGCAAGGCCCTAAACGTCGGGGGTGGGGTGGCAGCAGGTCAGAGACAGTGATGGACAAGAAAGGAGCCATCAGGTGGGAACCACACTGGTGGAGGTTCCACTAGAGCAGTGGCTGCAGAACAGGAAAAACACTTAGGATTTCATGAAGCAGTAGATGCATAAAGTCAGAAGAATCACGAATTACCTAAATGTCAGGCTTGAGCAACTGGGTAGATGAAAATGCCATTAACTGACAGAAAAAACAGAAAGAGGAGGTTGTGTTACTGTTTTGAGTCTAACATCATCATCATTCCTAACACATCTCATCCAGGACTGAGTTCTGCCTTCCGGCAGGGTCTCCTCTTCCACAGTCTCCCACCTCCTCGAGACTCTCAGCAGCATTACCAGTTAGCCTTGCGCAAAGCACATGGACAATCTTTAAATCTCGACTGATAGATAACAAAGCAATAATATTTTGCATGAATGACTAACGATGAATTCAATCAGAAAACATTTTTTATGAAGATTTCAAAGACCTTGTCGTCAAATTATTTTCAGTCTTACCTCTGTCCACAACGACGTTCCTCGCGCTAAGGACTCCTCTTGTCGCAGACACAGGAGAAAAGCTGAGATGTCAGAAAGGGACACTTTCTCCTGGGGCAGGGGGTGGAGGGACGTTTTTAAAAATTACTCATTTAAAAAATTTTAATTGAATAAAATAAAGTCACTGTAAAAGCAATCTAGTATACTGTTTATAGTATTAGTGAACTCTAAAGGAAGCTATTTTTTAAATATATTATTCCACTTTAAAAATGAAGATATTGATTACAAACCAACACATTATGTAAAATAAAAGATTATTTTATAAATCTATTTTCCTTAAAATCAAAGTTACTGTCTTAGAGTCAAGATGGTAACAATCTAAAAGCAAAAACAAAAACATTCTATAGGAAGTTACTTATTATTTAAATCAACAGTGATTCTTACTTTTCAAAGCTACAAAAATGACCCCCTACCTTAAGAAAGCCACCTACGTATTTCATTCCTTTAGGTTATAAGTCTTGAATAAGATACCCTGCTCTAGGCCAGAGGTCAGCAAAACCACTCACAGCCTGTTTTGTCAATAAAGTTTTATTGGAACACAGCCATGTTCATTTATTTATCAACTGTCTGTAGCTGCTTTTGAGTGGTTGTGACAGAGACCATATGGCTCACTAAACCTTAAATATATACTAGTCTGCCCTTCACAGCTACAGTTTATGGGGGCTCTGTGAAAAAAAAACAAAACAAAAAAAATACAGAACGAAGACAGTATATTCCCTGAAGGTTGATTTTCTGGAAGGTAAGTGGAAACAGTACAGAGGAAACCAGGTGAGCACCTCTGGTCCTCTCCCAGCAGAGTCGCCAGGATGTGCTCAGTTCCAGACATGTAACCTGTTCCAGGGGAGCTCATCAGACGCACGCAGGCTGCCCCTGGGACTAGTGAGAGGTGCCCCCACACAGCGACCACCCAGATTCACCTCCAGAAGGAGGCTCAGTGTGAGCCCGGTGGTCTTTGTGAATACGTCAGGCCCAGCCAGCCACTCCCGCATGCCAGCCAAGGGCCGACCTCCTACGGAGGCCGACAGCGTGGAGGGCCTGCTACCTAACTTGTCTGCACACCCACCCACTCAGAAAGGCTCGGGAACGAAGCATCACAAGTAAAGGTGCACTCACCACGTCGACCAGGTTCATCGCTGTGTGCAGAAGGTAGCACTGGGCCGCCCCCCGCAACAGAGGCTGGTGTGTGACCATGGCGCACTGGAGGACACCCCTGACACGGAACAGAGAACACATGTGCACTTCCCAGGGACGGCGGCGAGGGGCAGTCGCTGCCAAGCTGTTGTGTAGTAGTTACACTCACTAGTGCAGGAAGTCACCCCAGGGGAAGCTCAAAGCTCCTATTAAGGTCTCTGATAGAGCTCAATTTTTTTTTTTTTTTTTTAATCCTCACCCGAGGACATTTTTCCATTTTTTGTTCAGGTAGAGTGGGAGGGAGAGAGAGGAACAGAGAGAGAGAGAGAAACATCGATGCGAAAGGGACACATCGAGTGGCTGCCACCCGCACAACCAACCAGGGCCGGGGACAAACTGCAACCGAGGTACGTGCCCTTAGCGGGAACCGAACCCTGGTCTCTCAGGACCGCAGGCCGATGCTCTAACCGCTGAGCCAAACCGGCCAGGGCGATAGAGCTCAATTTTAACATGAAAAATATCTCCTTTAAAAATAATGAGACTATGCATGAAGACACATTAAAATAAGAATTTTACATTTTAAAAAATACTTTGTAATCAATATTACGGTTTCATATCTTATGTCTTGTTCCCCACCTACCAATGTAACAAAATAAAAACAACTTACTGCCCCGTCCTAAAGCGGTCCAAGTGCAGCCGCGTGTGTCGTGGTGCACACGTAACTTAGCAACCATAGAACAAAACAAGTCCTACCATGTGAATAGACTTTTAATTTATTTTTTTCTTATAAAAGAGCTCAGAAATCCCAGTGCCAATATTAACTAAAACTATTCACTACAGATTAAATCAGAGCGGAAAACAAAACTGCCCGATGGAAAGGTATGTCAAGACCCTATGTGAACACACACAGGTCAGAGTACCTGAGAGCAAGCAGCCCGTCCGGACCCAGCGCTTTACATCTCGGGACACTGGCCAAAGCCTTAGCCAGAAACAAGATGGGAACTGCACACCACTGTCTACTTGTCATCTTCTGAATAAACTTTAACAAAAAACCACCTGAAAGAAAAAAATTTTAAATATCATTGTTGCCATCAGCACATGACCACATGCTGAACATCACTAGACACTGGGTAGACAATGCAAATCAAAACCCCTAATGAGATGAAATTCACACCCACAGGATGGCTATCATCAAAAGGACAGACAACAAGTGCTGACCAGGAGCTGGGGAAACACCCTGCAGCTGAGTGCAACACAAGGCAGCCAGTGTGCAACTGTCTCTCAGCTCCTCCAAAAGTTAAAGTTACACGGGACCCAACCATTCCAGCCTTACGTATGCACTCAAGAAAATGGAAAGCATGTATGTTCATATAAAAACATGTCTGTGCCCTGGCCGGTCTGGCTCAGCGGTTAGAGCGTCGGCCTGCGGTCCGGAGAGACCCAGGTTCGGTTCCCGCTAAGGGCATGTACGTCGGTTGCAATTTGTCCCCGGCTCTGGTTGGCCGTGCGGGTGGCGGCCACTCGATGTGTCCCTTTCGCGTCGATGTTTCTCTCTCTCTCTCTCTCTCTCTTCCTCTCTCTCCCTCCCACTCTATCTGTACAAAAAATGGAAAAATGTCCTCGGGTGAGGATAAAAAAAAACAAACATGTCTGTGATTATTCATAGCAGCATTATTCATAATAGTTAAAAGAGGGAACAACCCAAACATCCACCAACTGATGGATAAATAAAATGAGAAATACCTATACAGTGGAATATTGTTCAGTCACAAAAAGGAATGAAATACTGATACATGCTAAAACATAAATGAATCTTAAAAACATTAAGCTAAGTGAAAGAAGCCAGACATACACTAAAAGGCCACATATTATGATTCCATTTATATAAAATGTTTAGGCAAATCTATAGAGACAGAAAGCACACTGGTACCTGACGGGAGCTGAGGGAAGGGTAAGAAGTGATTACCAATGCGTGTGGAGTTCTTAGGGTGATGGACATGTTCTGGTATTAGAGGTGATGGTTGTACAATTTTGTGAATATACTAAATACCAATAAACACTTAAAACGGTGAATTTTATGGTATGTAAATTGTAACTCAATAAAGCTATTAAAAAATCAATGTTCTTTCAATTTTATTCCTACTTAGTAAGATAAGTACATATTCTACTCTGTTGTAGAAATTCTGCTAAACATGCAGTTATATTTTTAAAATGTAAAAGATAAATTCTTTACTGTTAGAAGGCATTCTTCTGTTGGAGATGTTAAAGAAAAACAGGGTAAAAAATACCGATAATAACTGACCTCTTATCTGCAAACAGTGATATTAGATCTTTTTCACAGGTAATTTCTTTTTCTTTTAATTTTTTTATTAATTTATTTTTGTTACAGATGTTTCTCCTTTTCCCCCCATTGACACGCTCCTCATCTCCACCCCCTCACCCCATCCCCAGCATTGTTGTCTATGTCCATGGTTACACATACATACATGTAAGTTCAGTGTTTATCTCTTCCCTCCCCCCCGGAACCCCTCTTCTGAGGTGTCAGTCGGTATCCTACTTCTATGTTTCTGGGTCTATTTTGTCTATCAGCTTGCTCTATTCATCATATTCCACAAATAAGTGAGATCACGTGATATTTGTCTTGCTGATTGGCTTGTTTCGCTTAGGATAATACTCTCCAGGTCCCTCCTTGTCCTCTCAAAGGATAAGAGATCTTTCTTCCTTACAGCTGCATAGTACTCCATTGTATATATGTACCACAGCTTTTTTATCTACTCATCTACTGGGCTGTTTCCACATCTTAGCAATTGTAAATAGTGCTGCTATGAACATTGGGGTACATATATTCTTTCTGACTGGTGTTTCAGGCTTCATAGGGTATATTCCTAAGTGGGATCACTGGGTCACATGGCAGTTCAATTTTAACCTTTTGAGGTAACACCATATTGTTTTTCATAGTGGCTGTTTTTCATAGTGTTTTTCATAGTGGCTGCATTCCCACCAGCAGTGTACTAAAGTCCCCTTTCTCCACACCCTCGCCAGCACTTGTTGTTGATGATTTGTTGATGGCAGCCATTCTGACAGGTGTGAGGTGATAACTCACTGTTGTTTTAATTTGCATCTCTGATGATTAGGGACGTTGAGCATTTTTTCATATGTCTCTGGCCAATTGTATGTCCTATTTGGAGAGGTGTCTCTTTAGGTCCTTTGCCCATTTTTAATTGGATTCTTTATCTTACTTTTGTTGAATTGTATGGGTACTCTATATATTTTGGAAATTAACCCCTTATCAGATGTATCATTGGCAATGATGCTCTCCCATATAGTGGGTTCCCTTTCCAGTTTGATGGTTGTTTCTTTTGCTGTGCAGAAGTTTTTTAGTTTGATGTAGTTCCATGTTTGATGGTGTTCATTTTTTTCTTTGGTTCTCCTACCTTAGGCGTTGTATCAGTGAAAATTCTGCTGTGCATGTCTAAAATTTTGTTGCCTACGTTTTCTTCTAAAATTTTTATGAATTCATGAGTCACATTTAAGTCTTTTACACACTTTGAGTTTATTCTTGTGTATGGTGTAAGTTGGTGGTCTAACCTTTTTTTTTTTTGCATGTAGCTGTCCAATTTTCCCAAAACCATTTATTGAAGAGGCTGTCTTTACTTCACTGTATACTCTTGCCACCTTTGTCAAATATTAATTGAGCATAATAACTTGAGTCAATTTTTGGGTTCTCTGTTCTGTTCCATTGATTTATATGCCTGTTCTTGTGCCAGAACCAGGCTGTTTTAATTACAGTGGCTTTGTAGTATAACCTAATTTCCAGTATTGTGATCCCTCCCACTTTGTTCTTGTTTTTCAAGATTGCTGTGGCTATTCAAGGTCTTTTTTGGTTCCATATAAACTTTTGGAGTATTTGTTCTAGTTCTAAGAAATATGTCGTTGATATTTTGATGGGGATTGCACTGAACCTATAGACTGCTTTGGGTAGTATGGACATTTTAATGATGTTAATTCTTCCTATCCATAAATAAGGTATATGCTTCCACTTTTTTATATCTTCCTCTATTTCTTTTTTCAATGACCTGTAGTTTTCAGTGAAGAGGTCCTTCAATTCTCTGGTTAAGTTTATTCCTAGGTATCTCAATTTTTTTTGCCATGATAGTAAATGGGATTGTTTTCTTAGTTTCTCTTTCTGTGAGTTCATTGTCGGTGTATAAGAATGCCATCGATTTCCTGATGTTAACTTTGTATCTTGCTACTTTGCCAAATTCATTTATTAAATCTAGTAGATTTTTGATGGAGTCTTTAGGGTTTTCTATGTACAATGTCATATCATCTGCAAATAATGACAGTTTCACCTCCTCCTTTCCAATTTGGATCCCTTTTATTCTTTCTTTATGTCTAATTGCCATGGCTAAGACTTCCAGTACTATGTTAAATTAAGAGTGGCAAAAGTGGGCATCCCTGTCTTGTTCCTGTTCTTAAAGGAAATGTTTTTAGTTTATGCCCATTGCTGTAGGTTTTTTTGTATCTGGCCTTTATTATGACAAGATATGATATCTCTATTCCCACCCTGCTGAGTGTTTTTATCAGAAATGGGTGCTTGATTTTCTCGAATGCTTTTTCAGCATCTATTGATAACATCATATGGTTTTTATCTTTCATTTTGTTTATGTGGTGTGTCACATTTATTGATTTGCGAATATTATACCATCCTTGCATCCCTGGGATGAATCCCACTTGGTTATGATGAATAATTTTTTTGATGGATCCAATTTGCTAATATTTTGTTAAGGATTTTGGCATTTGTGTTCATCAGTGATATTGGCCTATATTTTTCTTTCTTTGTAGTGTCTTTATCTGGTTTTGGAATTAGGATTATGTTGGCCTCATAAAATGAGTTTGGAAGTCTTCTGTCTTCTTGGATTTTTTGGAATAGTTTGAGGAGAATGGGTGTTAGATCTTCTTTCAGTGTTCAGTAAAACTCTCCTATGAAGCCATCTGGGCCTGGGCTTTTGTTTGCTGGAAGTTTCTTGATTACATCTTCAATTTCCTTAGTTGTTATTGGTCTATTCAAGTTTTCTATCTCTTCCCAGTTCAGTTTTGGGAGACTGTGTGTTTCTAGAAATATGCCCATTTCGCCTAGATTGTCCAATTTATTGGCATATAATTGTTCATAGTATGTTTTAATGATCCTATGTATTTCTGTGAAGTCAGTTGTTACTTCTCTTTCATTTCTGATTTTGTTTATTAGGGTCCTCTCTTTTTGTTTCTTGGTGAGCCTGGCTAAGGGTCCATCAATCTTGTTTATTTTTTCAAAGAACCAGCTCTTTTGAATTTTTTTTTTTTTTTTTTTTTTTTTTAGTATCTATGTTGTTTATTTCTGCTCTGACCTTTACTGTTTCTTTCCTTCTACTTGCTCTGGGTTTTTCTTTTTGTTTACTTTCTAGTTCTTTAAGTTGTAGGGTTAGAAAGTCAATTAGGAATTTTTCCTGAGGTAGGCCCGCAGTGCTATGAAATTCCCTCTCAGGACTTTTTTCACTGCATCCCATAGATTTTGTGTTGTTGTGTGTTCATTTTCATTGGTTTCCAGGAAGTTTTTAATTTCTTCTTTGATCTCCTTGGTAACCCATTTGTTGTTTAATAACATGCTATTTAGCCTCTATGTGCTTGAATGTTTTTGTTGTAATTGATTTCTAGTTTCATGCCATTGTGATCTGAGAAAATGCTTGATATGATTTCAAAGTTCTTAAATTTGTACTTACTTTGTATGTTAGCATGTGGTCTGTCTTTGAAAATGTCCCGTGTGAGAAAAATGTATATTCTGCTGCTTTGGGGTGAAATGTTCTGTAAATATCAATTAAGTCCAACTGATCTAGTTTGTCATTTAAGGACTCTGTGTCCTTGTTAATTTTTTGTCTAGAGGATCTATCCAGTGGTGTCAGTAAAGTGTTAAAAGTCACCCACTATGATTGTATTGCTATTGATCTCTCCCTTGAAGTCCTCCAGAAATTTTTCTTTTCTTTATTGATTTTTAGAGAGAGAGAGGAAGAGAGAGGGAGAGATAGAAACATCAATGGGAGAGAACATCAATTGGCCACCTCCTACATGCACCCCACTGGGGATGTGGCCCACAACCTGAGCATGTGCCCTGACCAGGAATCAAACTGGCGACCTCTTGGTGCATGGGTCGACGTTCAACCACTGAGCTACACCAGCTGGGCCCTCCAGAAGTTTTTAAATATATTTTGGTGGTCCTGTATTTGGTGCATATATGTTTACCAGGGTTATTTCCTCTTGTTGGATTGATCCCTTTAATATTATGTAGCAATATTCTTTGTCTTTTATTTTTGAAATCTATCTTATCAGATATGAGTATTGCTACACCAGCTTTTTTTTCATTTCCATTTGCTTGGAAAATTTTTTTCCATCCCCTCACTTTCATCCTGTATGAGTCTTTTGTTGTGAGGTGGATCTCTTGTAGAGAGCATATATATGGGTCATGTTTTCTTACCCAATCAGCTACCTTATGTCTTTTAATTGGAGTATTTAAGCCATTTACATTTAAGGTTATTATTGATAGACACTTATTAGTTGCCATTTTAATATTATGCCTGTGTCCCTCTTTCTGTCTCTGTTTCTTCTTCTTCTTTCAGCAATCCCTTTAGCATTTCTTGCAGTGCTGGTTTAGTGGTGATAAATTCCTTTAGATTTTTTTTTTTTTTTGTATGTGAAGCTCTTTATTTCTCTTTCAATTTTTAATGATAGCCTTGCTGGATAGAGCAGTCTTGGATTCAGATCCTTGCCTTTCATTGCTTTGTATACTTCCCTTCTGGCCTGCAGTATTTCTATTGAGAAATCAGCTGACAGTCTAATGGGGGCTCCCTTGTAGGTAACTTTCTGTCTCTCTCTTGCTTCCTTTAAGATTCTTTGTCGTTAATGTTTGCCTTTTTTATTATGCTGTGTCTAGCTATGGGTCTGTTGGGATTCATCTTGCTTGGGGCTCTCTGCATTTCCTGGACTTGTGTGACTTTTTCCTTCATCAATTTAGGGTAGTTTTCTGTCATTATTTCTTCAAACAGGTTTTCTATTCCTTTCTCTGATTCTTCTCCTTCTGGTACCCCTACATGCAAATGTTATGTTTTGTATTGTCCTAAAGCTCCCTTAAACTCTCCTCCTGTTTTTTAATTTTTTTCCTATTTGCTGCTCTATTTGGATGTTTTTTTTCTACCATGTCTTCTAACTCGATGATTCGGTCTTCAGCTTCTTCTAATCTACTATTGAGTCCTTCCAAGGTATGTTTTATAACAGCTATGTCATTCTGTATTTCTTCTTGGTTTTTATTCATAGTTTCTACCTCTTTTTTTAACCTGATGTAGTTCCCACTGAGCTCTTCATAATTCTTACTAAATTGCTTGTAGTTCTCACTAAATTGTTGGAGCACCCTTAAATTCATTGCTTTGAGTTATCTGACAAATTGCTTTCTTCCGTTTCATGTAGTTCCTGGTGAGGGGTATTAGAATACGTAGGCAGGTCGGTGTGTATTAAATAAGCCTGCTGTGCCTCCCAGATTGTTGTGGTGTGTGGTGCCTCTTGCCTACTGCTGGTCCTGGGGGATTGACAACTGGCAGCTGGTATTGATCTGTCATGTTAGGTGCTCTTCGCATGCGTGGGTCCAGCTGGAGTGCTGTTGGGGTGCGTGGGTCACCCTGGTTTCCTTCCGAGGTGTGCTACTGCCTGGTGGGGCTCAGCTCCTTATCAGTCGCTGCAGGGGGTGAGTGTCAGCCCCTGGTTTGTGCTGCTACTGCTGCCAGAGGGTGCTCTCAGCTCCCAATCCTATGCTGCTGTTGGGGACTGAGGATGCTCAGCTCCCAGGAGTTTGCTGCTGCTGGGGGAGGGGGCTCCACTCCAAATCTGCTGCTGCAGTTGCCAGGGGCAGGTCTCAGCTACCCGAGTCTTGCTGTTGCTTGGGCTGGGGCACCACTCCTGATCAGTCTCTGCTGATGCCACTGGGAATGGGTCTCAGCTGCCAATCTGTGCTGCTGCTGCCTGGGGATGGATCTTATATTCTCACAAAATGTGGGAAGTCCTCACAGGCAATTTCTTACCTACCTTGAATCTAATCACTATAATTTAACTTTTCTCTCTCTCTTTTTTTAATCCTCATCCAAGGATATTTTTTTCCACTGGTTTTTAGAGAGTGGGAGACAGGGAGAGTGGGAGGAGAGAGCGAGAGAGCAAAACATTGATGTGAGAAACATACATTGATTGTTTGCCTCCCCCACACGCCCCGACCTGGGTTGAAGACTGAACCTGCAACACAGTATGTGCTCTTGACTGGGAATCAAACCCAAGACTCTGGTGTGCAGGCTGACACTCTTACCACTGAGCCACACTGGCCAGGGCTATAATTTTCTTTTCTATTTTTTGTACAAAAGAGCTCCATTCTGCCTTCTCTGCTAATGTGTGATTTTTAAGGACCCTCAAGTCATGCAGTCATTGAAATGTCTATTTCCTCAGATCATCACCATGGAATGACACTTAAGAAATCCTTGGAAGCCTGAAAGGGTATCACGTGTATTTTATATCTTCCAAAGTATCTAACACAAAACCAGATACACTTAAGATATTCACTGAAAATTGTTGAATGAAAAACCCGCTAAGTAAAAACTGTGAGCAAACATTTTAGTTTCCTGCTCTTCTGCTGGGCTAATTAAGTTTCCACTTTTTGCCAAATACTTCACTCATGACACAGGAAGATGGCCATAGCCAGGCTTCCCTTTCAAATTCACTGAACTCGTGTACAAGTGTCAGCCACATGCCTGGCACCAGCTGCCGACACTGTGCATGCAGCCTCTAAGGAGCACTGACCACGACCATCTCGGTCATATGGTGCTTCTGCTGTAGTGGACATTTGGACTGTTTCCACTTTTAACTATTATGAATAATGTTATAAATATTCACATACATATTTTTGTATTATGAACAATGCTTTTAATTCTCAAGTGCATACCTGGTATACAAGGCCTTACAAAAAGCAAGTCTATTTTTCTATCTTCCTAAGTCAATATACATAAAAGGGACTTCACCACAACAGATATTCTGCTTACAACTTTCTCCTAAACTCAGTTTCTTTCTTCCTTCCACCTATTTAACTGATTTTTGAAATTCAGTAGAAACTAGAAAAGATGGCACACTGCAGCGCATTCCGAAATGACTCCCATGTGCTCACACCAACACTGGTGGTAGGTTAGGTACGAATGTGTGCTCAGTCACAGTGGGCACCTGCATAAGCCTGACCATTTTCATATCCTAGAATAAGGAAACTATTTTGATATACTGACAATAACCATCATAGGATGGTGCCTATAACCAACATACTAAAATAAATAAATTTTTAAAGCTAATAAATTAAAAATAAAATGATGCTTTACTGCACATACCCTTTAGTTCTTCTGGAAGAGAAGAAATGTAAGTGACTAAAAACGTCTGTAATGTAAATCCCAGTGGAGAGCCACTTCCTATCTGCTGGCCTGGGGACCTGGAGACAAAGAGGAACAAGAAAAACATTTAAAATCTGTTTACAAATAAGCACATTGAAACTAAAAGGACTATGGCCCAGCAACCTTTAACAACAAAACAATAAGACCATCTTTTATTTCTGAACCTACTTTTTATTTTTCAGTAAAATATTGAGGATCTTTCTGATTATAAAAACACCAGGACCTTCTAGGAAAATGGACATGGGTTAGTAACATGCTATACTACGTAGGCATGGATTTCCTTTTTATCACATTTTCCCTGACACAAATATATGAATCTTGCTTAGTTTCATTTTTTTTAAAAGTCTAAAAATGATCATTTAAAATTACATTTTATTATTTCCAATATGTAATTCAATGCTCTTAAATCTTCAGGTATTAAATAAAAGAAATATTATTCATATAAAGACATACTACTGATAAGTTACTTTTGCAAGAGTTAACATCTTAATTGTTAACATCTAGTGAAGTCCCCTTTTTCCTGCTATATGAGTCTTTCAGAGACATGGTCTGCTCGACGGACAGTGCTGGGAAAGAGAGCCCTTCGTCACAGATGTGTGATCAGTCACGGTCACAGCACAGACTAATTTAAACTTTTTAAAGAAAGTGATGGTGGGAGGTTTTCTTCCTGTTTAGAAGTATATCAAATAAAAGACTTCCAAGTATAAACTTAGTCAACATTAGAAAGACAACATAATTTCAAAAACAAGGGAAATTTTTGAAGATATAATTGAAGAGGCTAAGGCAGAATACTGATGGGCTCTTCACACCATCAACCTTTCCAAGGATAAAGGTGGCCAATACGTCCTGGGTCACGGGCAGCAGCCGCCACTGTCACATATGGAAAGGAGGGGCTAGAATAATGCCTGTGTTATTGGCCTGGAACTGGACGCATTGCTGAAAACTCATGGTTTTCAATATGGGTGGATGGACAGACGGACAGACACTGGAAGAGATATAGATGGTCAGTCTGCTCAGCAGACCGAGCTAAGAAATAGACACCCACACAGGGAGAGAGACAACTGTTAAGCAAATGTGGTAAAAATTAACATTTGGGGAATGTGGATGAAAGGTAAATGGGAATTCTTTGTATTATTCTCAGGACTTTTCTGTAAGTCACAATAAAGAGTTTTAAAAAGGAAAAAAGAGTTTAAAGTGTTGGTTAGCCAAAGTCACTGCAATTTCCAAGGGGACAGAGAGCAGGGGAGAAAGGAAGCTATGTAAGACATATGTTCCAAAGCCAAGAACCAAAGGGCTCAGGTAGGAAAGGAAACAAGAAAAAAGAAGGAACACTTGATACAACTAACAGAAAAAGGCAAGAATAACAAACACAGAAGAGACGACATGATAAGAAAATGTTGAATGTCTAACAGGCAACATCTGTTATATGCCAAATGCATTAAACAATCTGGTCGTTTTTTATAAACAGGTTACATTTACATATCAAATACAAATTACTGCATTGCTGCTAAATAACCCTACATTTGCTTACCTGCTATACAGAGAGCTCTCCGAAAGTGCGTCCATTAATGGTCCAATAACAAACTAAAAAGAAATGTATCTGATGTTAAGTTGTCACTGGAACCTGGAAGTCAGCTGCACTTAACTGCACCTGTACCCAGGGCTGCAGACGAGCCAGTGTGAGCACAGCTGGCCTCCATGCTGTAGGGTCATTTATGACGGATGGTCTTGGAGGGTCTCTTAATTCACCAGAACAACAAAACAAGTTCAGAATTTTCTCAACTGATAAACACTTATAAAATAGAGAGTTCACCTTGGGTCAAGAAGGAAGAAAGGAACCCAAAACAGAAACACATGGTGGAAATAAAGGTAGTAGCAAAGAAAAACAAAAAGAGACCCAAGAGAAAATTTAAGCCCATCTACCTGGAAGATAGAGGGGGAGGAATTATATCTTCAAAACCGTTGCTAGACATTGGTCAGAAAAGCAAGCTTGCAGGAGTGGGGAAGGCTCGGATGGGGGGATGGTGTGTGTCAAACAGGGTGCCCGCCAGGGAGCTGAGCAGGGAGAGGACCTGCCAGTCCCTGACGAACTCCAGGGCTGCACACCAGGTGAGGGTGAAGATTCTAAACAGCTACAGCAAGTAATCAACTGTTTTCATATATAAATATATATATATATATATAAAACTACTATAGCATGTTGCCAAACAATTGGGAAGTTTAGTTAGGTTACCTATAAACAAGAGGTAAATGACGACACCATAGTGATCATGTAACTCACAAGGCACAGGACATAAAACTTAAAATCACAGCTGTAACTCTCTGTCTCTGCTTAGTGTGATTTCTGACAAATGGAAGTATAGATGCTAATAAAACATACAGTATTATTTTACATAAAAAATAAAAATAGCTCAAAAGGCAATCTCTGGCTGGGCCAGTGTGGCTCAGTGAACTGAATGTCTTCCCGTGGACTGAGAGGTCCCACAGTTTGATTCCAGGTCAGGGCACACGCCCAGGTTGCAGGCTCAATCCCCAATAGGGGGCATGCAGGAGGCAGCCGATCGATGTTTCTCTTTCACATTGATGTTTCTGTATCTTTCTCCCTTCCTCTCTCTCTAAAAAATTAATAAACATATTTGTTTTAAAGGCAATCTCTGCTTCATATAGTAGATAACGTTATTCATTGACCAGAACTGGGGGAAGGTCACTACCAAGTTTCCATACTAGTCTGCATCCCGCTGACTTCACAGTGTTCGCAGTTCTGATACCACCGAGTCACTTCTCACAGTGGAACGATGCAGGCGGTTTGTCAAAGTACAGTACAGTATGTTTCCAAAAGGACAGCTGGGTCAGAGAACGGGGACTGGGCAAATCTGCAGCAGGTCCCTCGCCACCAGAGGCTGGGGAATTGCTTGGAGGATCACATGAATACAATGAATGCCTTTAACTCCCATCTTTGGACCAAGGAACAAGGCAGGAAAGGCTGTCATTACCTCAGAAAATTCTGGTGAGGATGGAAGCGTCTTTGTTTCATAAAGCTCCAACAAATGGATAACGCCTTCTTTGGTCAGGATTTTGTTTTCACTCTCAAACATTCTTTTGTAAATACACAGATGCCAGGAGGGGTGAAAGAGCCACCGTCCTGCAAGAACACAGAGTGTCACTGGGTCCCGCTCCCTACTCCATGAGCCGACACGCTCACCCACAGGGTGTCACTGGGTCCCGCTCCCTACTCCATGAGCAGACACGCTCACCCACAGGGTGTCACTGGGTCCCGCTCCCTACTCCATGAGCAGACATGCTCACCCACAGGGTGTCACTGGGTCCCGCTCCCTACTCCATGAGCAGACGCGCTCACCCACAGGGTGTCACTGGGTCCCTACTCCATGCAGCCGACGCACTCACCCACAGGGTGTCACTGGGTCCCGCTCCCTGCTCCATGAGTCGACATGCTCACCCACAGGGTGTCACTGGGTCCCGCTCCCTGCTCCATGAGCCGACGCGCTCACACACAGGGTGTCATTGGGTCCCGCTCCCTACTCCATGAGCCGACATGCTCACCCACAGGGTGTCACTGGGTCCCGCTCCCTGCTCCATGAGCCGACGCGCTCACATACAGGGTGTCACTGGGTCCCGCTCCCTGCTCCATGAGCCGACGTGCTCACCCACAGGGTGTCACTGGGTCCCGCTCCCTGCTCCATGAGCCGACGTGCTCACACACAGGGTGACACTGGCTCCCTGCTCCATGAGCCGACGTGGTCACACACAAAACATCCACATGGCACATTGACTTCCTGACCACAGAAGGGAGTTTGTGTCTGACCCCACCTCAGGTGTTTGACAACCCAATAACCACACTAATGTAACGCTCAGTATTCCATATCGGACAACTTCATTTAGAAAGACAGCAACAATGTCACAGCTGGTAGTGTACAAAATGAAGCACCACCCCTGCCCGCAGATCGAAACTTTAGATGTGGGGTGACTCCCCATTTCCTCCCTCACCTGTCTAATCCACGCCACATTCATTCAGAAATCTGAAGCTGCCACCCCTCTGCTTTGACCTCAGTGGCTTCTCAGACCCTTAGAATAAAACCAGAAGGAGGTTGAGCTGAGCCCTGCCAACGCTCCAGCTCGGCCCACACCCCACACGCCACACGCCACACGCCACACCCGCGCAGCGCCCTCCCGGCTCCTCCCTGAGCTGAGCCCTGCCAACGCTCCAGCTCGACCCACACCCCACACGCCACACGCTGAGCCCTGCCAACGCTCCAGCTCGACCCACACCCCACACGCCACACGCCACACCCGCGCAGCGCCCTCCCGGCTCCTCCCTGAGCTGAGCCCTGCCAATGCTCCAGCTCGACCCACACCCCACACCCCACACCCGCGCAGCGCCCTCCCGGCCCCTCCCTGAGCTGAGCCCTGCCAATGCTCCAGCTCGACCCACACCCCACACGCCACACCCCACACCCCACACCCGCGCAGCGCCCTCCCGGCCCCTCCCTGAGCTGTTCCCATCTCCGGAGGGCATGCCAGGGCTTCCCGAAGGCAGGCCCTTCCTGCCCACCTCTCCAGGGACGGCCGCGCCACTGCAGCCCCTTGGGTGTGGGTGGAATTTATAGTCAAAATTATTTTTTCGTGGAAAACAGACAAAAATCAAGTGGAAAACAATACATCTGACTGGCCATTATATCCTAGCATGAACTGGACACTAGGTATCTATTAGGTAAACATTTAACTGAATGAGGGGAAAATAGAATAACTATGTGCCTAGAGATATTTTTAGCTCTTTTGACATATCCTTTAATTCTTTTTCTTTTTCCTCACCCAAGGACATTTTTGCATTTATCTTGAGGTAGAGCAGGAGGGAGAGAGGGAGGGAGAGAGAAACATCGATTTGAGAGAGACCAGTTGAGTAGTTGCCACCCACACAACCCCAACTGGAGCCGGGAATGAACCGCAACTGAGGTACGTGCCCTTAGCTGAAACTGAACCTGGGACTCTTCAGTCCGCGAGCAGACACTCCAACCGCTGAGCCAAACCAGCCAGGGCTCCTTTAATTCTATTAGAAAAAAATTCTGCGTTTTTAACTCATGGCATTCTATAAATAAATTGGTCCATTATTTGTGATTTCTAACCAAGATACTTGTTCTACGCTTTGATGATGGTAATTTTTCAAAACCTGTCACTGATTTTGAATTTGGTTCACCCAGGGCTGTGGGTGAAATGCAGCAATGAGAGAATCACTTTAATAGTAAATCCTAAGTGAAGTCACGACAGGATCCAATTAAATGCTAGCCCCAGGGGGACAAAGGACTCTCAAGGTCTGTGAAAAATCCTGGTGTCCCAGAAAACATAGCAATTAACTGAATAAAGCTCAATTCTTAGGGGTCAAACTATTAAAGCCATAATTTTCTAGAGTAGGCACTAAGACCCTTTACACAGGTTAATTCTCATGTGTAAACACGATAATATGGAATTTTATCATTCATACAATATAAAACAGTTAGCTGGTGTTTGGTTGATCACTAATCCACACTTAATTTCATAAGATAACTGTAGAAAGCTGTAGTTTCATTTTATTTCCCCTAGAAAGCTCTCCTAATACAATACTGCTTAAGGGCTTAAAAGGCATACTTAAAATTATATCTTGGAATCTTCTCTTCCTAAGAAGTCCAAGATACAGAACTGAAACCCCAAAAAAGTAACTCTAACAAACAATGAAACAGGTATATTGAGAATAAAAATGGCCCTGGCCGGTTGGGATCAATGGTTAGAGTGTTAGCCCACAGACCAATGAGTCTCGGGTTCGATTCCAGTCAAGGGCACGACCTCGGTTATGGTTCGTCCCTGGCCCTCGTCAGGGTCATGTGGGAGGCAACCAGTTGATGTGTCTCTCTCACATGGATGTTTCTCTCTCTCCTTCCCACCCACCACTCTAACTGAAGATAAATGGAAAAATACCCTCGGGTGAGGAATTAAAAAAAAAAAAGGAAAGCAGTTAAAAATGTCAGCTGTGCGGTGGGAGGGATTGGAGAGGCTGCATGCGAGATGAGACATGGGCTGGCCACAAGCTGACCTCTGTCGAAACTGGGTTATGGGGCTCATCATACAAACTCTTTCTCCTTCTGTAAGCATCTGACATTTTCCAGTACCAAAAGTTTAGAAAATTGCCCATATCTCTAAATTATAGAAAACTCCGCAGCCCTTTAAAATTATATTCTCAAAGACTACTTAAGGAGATATGTAAATGCATTTGGACATACTGAGAAAAAACATTATAAACAATCAGTGCAGAAGATACATATTGCAATGTTAATAGCAGATTCTTATTTTCTTTACACTTTTACAGTTTTTCCCAATTCTCTATAATGAGCGAGAGTTAGTTATAAAATCAAATCAAAGGGAAAAAAACTATAAATGTTATAAAAAAAGTAACCATTACCATTTTCCTCTGACACTGCACATTCAAACAGATTGTTCAGCTTTGGTAAAACTGGCTTTATAACATGTATCTGAAAACAAAAGCAAAATGGTGTATGAAATGAAAATTCACCTTTAAAAGCTTAGGGGACTTTTCATCTATTTACATAACAGTAACCCTTCTGTTCCCCACCCCCATGTAAAAAATAAGCAGAAGGTGCTGATTCTTCCAGCTGTTATGTAATATAAATTCAAGTATGTAAGCGTGAGTATGGTAAAGCTAATGACTATAACCTAGGATACAATGACAGTAATGTTACATCTACACAGTGACTATCATATATTATGTCATGAAATCCTCAACCTTCCTGGGAAATGGGGCTGATAATATTCGTATCTTACAAAGAGGAAAAAATACTGAAGTATATTCTCTAGTCACTCAAGTTGCTTAAGGCCACATTTAGAAGTCGAGCCAGTTCATAGTTCAGTGTTCTTCATACTTAGACTATGTTGCTGGTACCAGTCTGATTTATATATCCTTCCAAATATAGGCAAATCTGAGCTTCTAAATAAACAGCGGGGTCTTAGGAATCGACTGACAAAAAAACAGAAAAATTCATTTGACTTTAGAAATGCTCTTTCTTAGTCCGCAGCTCTCTCTATATATTTAACACACATGAATAATTCTTTATTTCATTCCACAAACAACACACACTTCACTGCCCCCTCCGTGACCCCACAGCTGGCTGCCCCCACAGGGCTCTCAGGCGGGGTCCCCAGAGCAGCAGCAGAGGTGTCTTTTAGGAACACATAAAACACTAAATCCAAAACTCTGGGACAGGGCCCAGCCACCCACACTGTAACAAGCCACCGGGGATTCGAATGAACGTGCGAGTCTGAGAAGCCTGCACTAGATCAGGTCATCTCAGGAGATTCCTCTCAACGTAAAAATTCTGTAATTCTACGGTCAATTCTGTGATCTGAAGTCAACTGAAAATGATTCTTCCAAGTTCCCATCCTCAGGGCCAGGTTTGCACTGATGTTAACAAATTCAAAAAAAAAAACTTACAAAATTACAGGGCAATTATTTTCTTCAAAACAACTTACCTCAGAACTGCTTTAAGTAAAATTTTCCTAAGTGTATATCTGAATAATGACTTAAGTCAACTGAACGCACTCCTGAATCTCCTGGGTTTACACCCCGTTCCGAAGCGCATCAGGCCGGAGGCAAGCGCACTGTGTCCCTCCTGCCACACCCTCGCTGGTCCCTGCGCTGCCCCACAGAATGCTGAAGAGCTAAGGGCGTCTACGCGGGATTTATTACAGTAAGAAAACACTCACCTGGTTTCCTTCCAGCGTTTCCATAATTAATATATAGTTTTCCCAAAAGTTTAGCAGCTCATCTCTGTTTTTCTCAGACCACCAAAAAAGACTTGGGCCTGTGATAATTTTAAAAAGAAAATTAGTTGGCAAATTTCATAAGTTTCTTAAGAGCAGCTCTTAAGCGCCTGCCACTGTGACTGAGTGATGTCTTCTCCAGGGAGGAGGGTCCCGGGACCAGAGCCGACAGGAGGCTGGGCGAACAAGGGTCTCAAAAGGAGATTTTTAAAAATAAAGATGACTCTTTTGGAGCTGTGAGTGAGAACGACAGTTCTGAACACATAAACTCTACTTCCTCTCCCTCAGGCCCTCACTCATCAGCACAGAACTTTTGAAGGCAAACCCCAGTAGAACAGAGAAAGCAACAGCAGCAACAGCGGTGAAAACCAAGCCAACTCCAGAAAGGCAAGTATAAAATTGGCACGAGGAAAGCCAAGAAAAATTTGACTTATAAAATTGCCCCAAACGTACGGAATTGACAGAAAGTCACCTCTGTAGGTGGAGCTGAGGACTTGCTCAGTGTGTCTAAGAAACGGTCAGATCCAGGCCCCCGTGCTCTTCTCCTGAACAGGAAGAAGACTGGACTGTTCTCTGAGTAGGTGAACAATGGCCTCTGAATCGAGATGCACTGGACACAGCTGAGGTCTGGCTGGTGCCACCTAACAGTGGGGGTCAGGTGAGCAGGTACACACCCCGGGCACTGAGAGCCCTTCCACCTGCCCCATCCAAGCACGGCCCCTCGGGTCCCAGACTACAGACCAGGCCTCACTGTCCAGCAGAGGACTGGAAAGCATCTGTGGAATCTGGCCAGCCCAGAGGGAAGAGCTGAAAATACACACGTCAGAGATGACCAGTGGAACAGCTTGGCCAGATCACCTTACAGAGACATTCAGTCAACAAACATCACTCATGAGCCTCCAGCTTTAAAGCAGATGTTTGGTTTCTGATTCTTAAACATAAATAGGCATCTAAAGACCACCAAACATCTTGGGAAACCGCAACGTTAGAGATCAAGACCACAACAAACAAAAGGAAATCTGGAGAAAACAATACTATGCAGGAAGAAAAAAACCTAAACGAACAAGAACTGTCCTATAACCAAGATCACTCTATCCTGAAAACCTATCATTTAAAATCTTTCCTTATTAACTTATCTTTATTGTTGAATGTATTACAGATGTCTCCCCTTTTCCCTGACTGACCCCCTCCTCCCCACTCCTGCCCCCCTCCTGCTTCTCCACACTATTGTCTATGTCCATTGGTTATGCACATATACATAGAAGTTCTTTGGTTTATCTCATCCCGCCCTCCCCACTTCCCTTTGAGGTTCCTCAGTCTAACAACTAATTTGTACTTCTTAATCCCTTCATCCTATTCACCTATCGCCCCAGCCCCTTCCCATCTGGCAACCAATAAAAAGTTCTCTGGCCCTGCTGGTTTGGCTCAGTGGTACAGCGTCAGCCCACAGACCAATGAGTCACAGGTTTGATTCCAGCCAAGGGCACGTACCTCGGTTGCAGTTCGTCCCCAGCCCTGGTCAGGGTCGTGTGGGAGGCAACCAGTCCATGTGTCCCTCTCGCATCGATGTTTCTCTCTCTCTCTCCCTTTTTCTCCCTCTCTCCTCCTCCCACTCTGTCTGAAGATAAATAGAAAAATACCCTTGGGTGAGGAAAAAAAAAAGGTCTTTGTATCTATGAGTCTGTATCTGTTCTGTCTGCTCATTTTGTTTGTAGATTCAACTGTAGATAGATATGTATTGCCATTTTATTGTTCATATTTTTGCTCTTCTTCAAGAAGACGCTTCAATATTTCATATAATACTGGTTTGGTGGTGATGAACTCCTTTAGCTTTTTCTTGTCTGGCAAATTTTTTATATGGCCATCGATTTTAAATGATAGGTTTTCAGGATAGAGTGATCTTGGTTATAGGTTGTTGCTTTTCATCACTTTGAATATCTCTTGCCACTCCCTTTTGACCTACAAAGTTTCTTTTAAGAAACTGGCTGACAGCCTTACGGGAGCTCCTTTATAAGTAACTAACTGCTTTTCTCTTACTGCATTTAAGATTCTTTGTCTTTAACCTTTGGCATTTTGATGATGATGATGTTTTGGTGTGGACCTCTTTGGGTTCATCTTGTTTGGGACTCTCTGTGCTTCCTGGACTTATCTGCCCGTTTTCCTTCACCAAGTTGGGGAATTTTTCTGTCATTATTTTTGCAAATAGGTTTTCAATTTCTTGCTCTCTCTCTTCTCCTTCTGGCACCCCCATGATGCAAATGTTGGTATGCTTGAAATTGTCCCAGACACTTCTTACACTAGCCTCAGTTTTTTGGATTCATTTTTCTTTTTGCTGTTCTGATTGGGTGCTTTTTGCTTCCTTATATTCCAAATCGATGGTTTGCTTCTTGGCTTCATCTACTACTATTGATTCCCTGTAAATTATTCTTTATTTCAATTAGTGCACCCTTTACTTCTGACTGGTCCTTTATTATGCTCTTGAGGTCCTCACAAAGTCCTTTGAAATTCTAAGTTCACTGAGCATCCTTATAAGCCGTGTTTTGAATTCTGCATGTGTTAGATTGCTTATCTCCATTTCATTTAGTTCTTTTCCTGGAGTTTTGTTCTGTTTTTTCATTTGGGACATGTTTCTTTGTCTCCTCATTTTGGCTGCTTCCCTGTATTTGTTTCTATGTATTAGGTTGAGTTGCTATGTCTCCTAGGCTTCCTAGGGTGGCCTATTGCAGTAGGTGTCCTGTAGGGTCCAGTGGCACAGCCTCCCTGATCTCCCAACTGGGCCCTGGAGGTGCACTCCTTGTGTGGACTATACACCCTTCTGTTGTAACTGAGTCTTGACTGCTATTGGCACATCAATGGGAGGGATTTACTCAGGCTGATCAGCTGCAAGGACTGGCTGTGCCCACTGACCACTGGCCTCTGACTACCTCAGAGGATCAGCTGTGCAGGGGCCCACCCCACAAAGCAAGACTTACTTCATCAGGGCTCTGGTACCCATTGAGTCCACTCACTGAGTATGTCACTTGTAGGGGTGGTTAGGTGGTGGTGCTTCAATGTGGTCTGCAGCTGGCCACTGGGTGTTATGGCTCTAAGGCAAGGTCAGCCACTGCCTGTGTTCTCCCCGGGACCCCCAGGCATAAGCTACAAAGTGATCTGCCGATGGCTGCTTCTTGTGCTGGGCTTGGAGGTGCCCAGAAAAAGCCAAGTTGTGAACCAAGTTTGGCTGTTTCCAGTGCCAGGCCTGGGGCCACTTAATGAGAGTTATGGGGCTCACCAAGACCAGATGCTGCTTGTTTGAGAGATTTTAGGAAACTCTGAAGCAGGATCCAAGACAGGCTAATCCTATGGTAAAGCCACTGAAATCAGCTTGGGTGGGCCCAAAAGTTGGGTGGGGCACGGCCTTGGGGAATCACCAGCATCGGACAAACAGTGTGAGCTGGGTTGCTGGAGTCCCAGATATGGCTGCTGTCTGCTGCACCAGGGAAGGGATCACCAAAAGAACAATGGCCTTCCACAGCATGTCTGTCCAGAAGAAAGCTGCCCCTCCAGCTCTCCTCTGATACCCAACAACTCAGTTCTTCCCCATTTATCTCTGGTGCCTTTCAAATTGCCTCCCCAATGTTGGAGCCCAGAAAGAGCGAATCCAAGTAAGTCTGTGCGTGAGCCCTTTAAGAGGAGCTGCCTGGGACTCCAGAAGCCTCAGTTCTCACTGGTTTTTACAGGCAGAAGTTATGGGGATTCTCTTCCCGGCCCTGGAACCCTGAGCTGGGCACCTGGTGTGGCACAAGGACCCATCACTCCTAAGGGAGGACCTTCCCAGCTGAGGTACCCTCCTGATTTTTATCCGTCACATGTGGTGTGGGACCAGCCATCCTTGAGCCCCCACCCCTCCTACCAGTCTCCATGTGGCTGCTTCTTTAATCTGGTAGTTGTAGGACTTCCATTCATCCGATGTCAGGTGGTTCTGAATGATGGTTGTTCTGCAGTTCAGCTACAATTCTGCTGTGGTTGTGAGAGGAGGCAATACCACGTCTACCTCTGCCGCCATCCTGACTGGAAGTCTGTCACTAACATCTTGAAGGGAGGTCAAAGAGGATAGTGCAGTGATGGTATAAGAACAGGACACTACTAAAAGGGACATTCCAAGAACCAAAAAGATCTTATGACAATAAGACTTTGATAGCAAAAACAAGAAACTCAAAGAACTGGAAATGAAGTTGAGGAAATTATCCAGGAAATAGAGCAAAATGACAAAACCATAGAAAATAGGAGAGAAAAGGTGTTCTGATGACCAGTCCAACAGGTTCAATATCCTAACAGCACAGAAAGCAAAAAGGGAGGGTAATCAAGATCATTCAAGAAGAGTTCCCAAAAGTGAAGAACATGATTTCCCAGTAGAATAGGTCCAGCAAGTGCCCAGCACAGGGATGAAAACAGACCTGTGAACTATCAGGACTCGGGGGGCACAAACCCTCCTAACTGCCATGGAGAAGAAACAGATCACATATAAACACAAACACAATTCAGAATGGTTTCAGACTTCGCAACAGCAACAATGGAAGCTCTAGCTTCTAAGACAACAGATCAATGCCTTTAACATTGTGGATGGAAATGTTTTACAAGCTAGAATTCTACCCCAATCAAACCAGCAATCAAACGTGAGGTCAAAATAGAGGCATCTAGACCTGCTTGGTCTCCACTTCCACTAAGGATACAGAAAGCCCCACAAGAACATACTGCCATACTAAATAAGAGAAAAAGCTGGAGAATCTATAAAATCCTAAACTTTTGAGCACTCTGGTCACAGTGCAATTCCAAAGGACAGGAGGCTTCGCCAAGGACAGAGAGACAGGACACAAAGTCTCCCACCTCGAGCCGCGCACAAGAGGAAGAGGTGGCCACCAAAACAGCAGTCACAAACTTTAAAAAGAAATGTTGATGAGTTTCTAAAGGCCATGTGTGGCCTTTACATGAGGGCTAGCTCGACAGTTAGAAACCTGGGAGCCCCCGAGGGAGTCCACACCACTCATCAGCTCTCCCACTTGGGCCTCTGAGTGCCCCTGGGGAAGACTGTGGGCGGGATGCCCTGCAGGTGCTGGCACGCAGGGAAACTGCACTGCAACAAGAGGGAGCTAGGAACTGCAGGAAGCAAGCACTAGCACAGGACTCAGATGAAGGGAATAATCGCCAGGGTGATGGTGAAGGCAGAGCTAAGAACCTTAGCTGTGCACCAGGCTGAGCATGTAAAAGGTCTCTAGGGGGGTTTTCAAGAAAATTTATCATATACCTGATGATCTGACTTTGCACAGGAAAGAGTTAGCCAACTAGCCAAGAATCTGAAGCGGAATTATTAAGAGATAAGGAAAGAACAAATTGTAAAACGATGTAATGCTGATCTCCCATTTAACAAAAAGTATGAACTGTGATAATGGGTTTTATGATAGAATTAGATTATTTCAGGACACAGGGGTAGATATCAGTATTATCAGCTGAAGAGGCAGAAGTGGTTGGCTGTGCGCCGAAGTGGAGGGGAGCGGAGGGCAGGCAGGAGGACCACTGCTGACCGGAAAGTGACCGGCTCTTTCAAATAAGCAAGTGTTCAACTTTGGTGATTTTAAAAATACCGTCCAGTGAAAACCCTCATGGTCTGGTCACCAATTTGTGGACTGTTAAAATATTTACTATCTAACGTTTTAAACTTACATGAAAACCTAATCTGCTCACAACTTCAGCCAGACAAAACCCTTTACCAATAATAAATAAATAAGCTACAGCTGAAACAGTAGACATTTTCTACTGAGACAATTTTTTTTTTTTTTTTTTTTTTTTGGTACATGCCCCTAGAGGAACCAAAGCCGGGACTCTGGTCCGCAAGCCAATGCTCCAACCGCTGAGCCAAACCGGCCAGGTCTCTACTGAGACAATTTTTAAATCACTCTGTTTTGGACTTTGATAGTTCCAAAATGGATTTAAGATAACATAAGTATATTTTCACACATTTCAGTGAACCAGTAAAGAATAACACACCAAACTGAAGGGAGGCCTTGCCATTTCATTCACTCTCCTTCTGTAATAGAAAGCACAGCTCAAAATGTAAAAAAAAAAAAAAAATTAAATCCGACTCATTCTATTGAACCAATGTAAAAAATACTCTCGACAGGGCTACTTAAAGGCCATACATTTAATAAATAAATATTATTAGTTAATCCTGCTCCTAAATTACCAGGGGAAATTTTTTTAAAAAGTAATGGTTCCTATAACAGAATTCTAACATTCAAGACTCAGTTCATGTGATCAGTACAGGTGAATAATTTTCCTTCCAACCTGATGACAGCTAACGCTCTTCCATCAGAGTGGACCGACGGCGACAGCGCGCACGTTTACTGAGATACTGCGTGGGCCAGCTCCTAAATTACCCCACCGACGCAGCACTCCACCTGGTCCGGGTCAGGAAGGTGGGACCGCGCGCTCTCCGCTGCAGGGACTCGTGTCACTTCAGAGAACGCCCTCTAGACAAGGGTCCCCCGGAGAGGGGGCGCTATGGGGACCGCAGGAATAACCACATTCGTCCAGGATGGGAGAGACTATCTCGAGGGGCTGGTGTTCGGACCCAGGCGGTCTCCCTCCCAGAAAGCCAGGCAGGCTTGGGCTGGGGTCAGACAGGTACCGTTTCCGTCCCGGGAGCTGCAGATGCAGTCGCCCCGCTCCGCCGACACCTCCACCGCCCGCCGCAGCAGGTAGCGCGCGCGCTTGCGCGTCAGGGCGTCCTCTGCGCGCGCCAGCCCCGCCTGCACCGTTCGCCAGAAGCGCGCGCAGCGTCGTGCGTCCAGGCCCGCCTCGCGCTCGCCGGGCTCGGGCAGCAGCCGCTCGGCCAGCACGCTCAGCACCTGCAGCCTCGGCCCCACGCGGCCCGGCCCCGAGGGCGCCACCAGCCCGCCCCACACGACCTGCAGCGCCGCCCCGCCGCTCTGACCCAGAGCCGGCAGCAGCCGCCCGGCCGCCAGGGCCGCCGCCTCCCCGTCCCCGGCCAGCGCCAGGGAGAGCGCGGCCTCCGCCACGCGCTCCAGCAGCGGCCCGTCCTCACGGGGCCGCAGGCAGGGCCCCAGGGCCGCCAGCACTTCCACGGCGGCCTCGGCGCCTCCCTCGAGGCCGGGCGCGGGCCCCGCGGCCAGCAGGTCGCGCAGCGCCTCCTCGGCCAGCGTGGCCCCCAGCGGCGGGTCCCCCGCCAGGCGCGCGCACGAGCACAGGGCCGCGCTCGCCGCCCTCAGCAAGCGCCGGCGGTGCCGGGCCGGCGGCTCGGAGTCCGGGGCTCCCGCGGGGCGCGCGCGCAGGCGGTGCAGCAGCGGCACCAGGAACCCGGCGGCGACCTCGCGCGCCGCCTCTGGGAGCGCGTCCCCGCCGCCGCCGCGCGCCGCCTCGTCCTCGAGCCGCTGAAGGAGGAAGCGCAGCGTCTCCAGGCGCTCCGCGGACGCCTCCCCGCGACACACTGTCCCGAGCAGGACCCCCGGGTCCCGGCTCTGCGCGAGCAACGCTTCCGCGAGCACCCCCTCCATTTGCCGCGCGCGCCGCCGACACCCGGCGCCCAAAGGAGGCGTGCGCGTGCGCGTGCGCGGCTGGCCAGAGCGTGCGCGTGCGCGGACCCTCTCGCCCAGTTAGTAAAATGTCACTGCGGTACCTACACCAGCTCTGGGGATTCCTAAGCGGAGAGTGGCCTGCCTGAGGACCCTAAATCAGGTGTGCCTGTGAAGCACAGGTACGCACAGAGGTCTATCTTCCAAAAAGGCGCAGGCTGATGCCACCCGCAAAGAAGCACTGTGGGGTCTGAAATGGGTTGCTGACATCTGCATAAAAGTCAATAATACCAAAATGATTTAGAGGCCCTGAGAAACTAATGTGCCAGAGACAGGACGGAAAAGATGCCCACGCCAGCGCTTGAAGTCAAACGCTCAAGCCGACCCTGGCAAGGAGGCCTACCCACACAATGTGCTCCCACATGCAATCTCAAAAATTGTCCTGTGTCAGTATTTTCTCTTTCTGACCGCGTCTACTGCTAAATACAGAAACAGGAAACCACGTTAGCATGCACGGTCCTGGTCTGGTTCCTGGCTCGACCCCAAGCAAACCGAATCAGTGACACAGGTTTTCTCCTCTTTCTCACCATAAAGATTTCCTACCTTCAAAGGGCTTGCCATGTAATCAGCAAAAGGGATAAAGCATAATTTAAAGTTTTTTTTTTAATTTAGTGTTATTTTTATATAATTTAAAGTCATTTAATTTTTATATTTTTGGTTTTATATATTTTTAAGTTACTTAAATTTAAACTTCCCGACATCATATATGCAAGGTTTTTACATATTTCAGTCATTAATTTTCCATTGACAATGCATAAATGGTTCTATTCCACTCAGAATGTGTCAGCAAACATCGATTGCTTTCGACATATAATGTGCCATAAATATAGTTTTCCCTCAACAGTATGTTCTTCATATATTTGTCAACAAAAATGGGCAAGTCTTGGGCACTTAACAAACGAAGATATGCAAATGTAGCATCTGAAAAGATGTTCAATGTCATTAGTCATTAGAGAAATGCAAATGAAATATTCAATAAGATACCACTTCATACCCATTAGAATGGCTAAAATTTAAAAGATTGAAAACACCAAATGACAAGGACTAAGGATGTGGAGCAGTTGGAACTCCCACACATTTCTGGTGGTGTGTGAATGGTCCAATCCCTTGGAAAGCTGTTTCTAAGAAAGTTAAAATTTACCTACTTTATGATTCAGTATTCCCATGCTTAGGTATTTGCCTAAAATAATAAAAATATATGCCAACAAAAGTGTTTAGACAAGAATGTTTTCAACAACATGACTCAATAGAACCAAAAGCTCGTAACAACCTAATGTCTATCAATTAGAATGGATAAACACATTGTGATCTAATCATATAATAATGCTATTCAGCAATAAGAGAGAATGAATTACTACCCCAGGCAACATACATAAATCTCAAGAACAGTGTGTTGAGCAAAAAGCCAGGGACGCCAAGCTTACATACTTCGTGACTCTGTTTACATGAGATTGATAACAAACAAGTCATCTGTAGGAGAGGTGAGAGCAGCAGTTGTCTGCAAGCAGCGGAGTCACTGAAACGGCACGGGACATTCCGAAGCGATGACACACTTTATCCTGACTAGGGTGTTGGTTTCACGGGTTTCACATTTGTTGAAACTCCTTCGACTGATCTATTCATTTCACTGTGCGTGAGCTTTACCTCCATTACAAAAATAACTTAAGAAAATAATAATTAGTTATCCTATGAGGTTGCTCCCTATTGCCTGCAGAATAAAGCCATGTGCAGAGCATGGTCTGGGGACCTGGTGGACACCAGCCAGCCTCATAACCTAACAGTTATTTTCTCTGCCTAAATATTTCCAACTGACACTTTCCTGACCCACCAAGGTGGGCAGTGGTCTCTTTTTTCATCCTTACCTTATCCCACTCTTATTTTTTCTTTTAAATCCTCACCAGAGGATATTTTTCCATTTATCTTCAGATAGAGTGTGTGTGTGGGGAGAGAGAGAGAGAGAGAGAGAGAGAGAGAGAGAGAGAAACATCAATGTGAGAGAGAGACATCGACTAGTTGCCTCCCACACAACCAGGACCAGGGCCGGGAACTAAGCCGAAACCGAGGTACATGCCTTTGACTGGAATCGAGCCCATGAGTCTCTGGCCCGCTGGCCTATGCTCCAGCCACTGAGCCAAACTGGCCAGGGCGAGGTTTTCTTCTTTTGGAAACACTGTCTTCCTCTGGTTTCTGTCAATAGTCTCTTCCTGTTTCATTTCGTTTTTCTGCTTCCCCAGCTGTCTCTGTTCACCTCTTGGAAGGAAGACCCCACTTCCTCTTCTTAAGCTGTTCGTGTTGACATTTCCAGTTGTATCTTCAGGTCTATATTCTTCTCACTCTATACATTTTCCCTAAGTAACTTCATTAAAACTGTTCATTCGACCACCATTTACATGGTGATGATGAAAAAATCTGAATCTCTAGCCCAGATCTCTCTCCTGAGCTCCAAACCCATCTGTCCAGCTGCCTGTCAGAGGTCCCCATTGAATATCACTCAGCATCATTCCCAGTCTCCACTTTTACTCATTTCACCTCATGATCCTTGTTACCCCATCGTTATTATTCCCCACCAACACACTTCTCCCCGGTATCTCCTATTCAGGAGACACCATCCTTCACTTAGTTGCCCAAGTCAAAAACCTGGGAGCCAGCAGGTTTCCCAGCGTCCTTCACTCTCAGGGAGTTGCTCCTTAAGTCCACCCATGAAACTTTCTAAATCTTTAGTGTCCCCTCCTCTCTGTCCCCCACCGATACTTTACTTTTAGACTTTTCTCATTTGTTACTAAGATAACAGCAATAAGCTCCTGCCTCATACACACTTTGTATTGCTACCAGGATGGTCTTCCTAAAATTACACCATCAGCTACCCATACCTCTCAGTGTTTGACTTTCTTAGTATGACATCCAAGATGCCTGGTGGGGTGGCCCCTCACCTCTTCCCCAGCCCCATCCTCCTCGTCCCCACACACAGCTGGATTTGGAGGTCTTGAAACTCCATGTGCCCCACTTGATCTTCTCCAGGCCCTCCACCTCTGCAAAGCCCTTGCCTCCGATCCACTTGAGTAGTTCTTTTTTTCTCAAGATACAGTTCAAATGCCATCTCTCCAGAAAGTCACTTTGTTTTTTGTTATCCTCACCCGAGGATATCTTCCTTCCATTGAGAGAGTGGCAGGGGCACTGGTGTGAGAGAGACACTTCGATTGGTTGCTTCTCACACACGCCCTGGCCAGCGCCAGGGATCAGACCTGCAACCCAGGTACGTGCCTTTGACTGGGAGTCGAACCCGTGACCTTTCAGTGCATGGCCGACACACCAACCTCTGAGCCACACTGGCCAGGGCGAAAGTCATTTCTTAATAGGTCACTCCCACTACTAACACCCACCCCACCTAAATCATTTCAAGCATCCTAACGTATCACTAACAGGGCGTTTGTCACACTGTGGTCACCACAGGTTTATCTCTCTGCACCTCGCCAGGAGCAACTTGAGGGCTGGGCAGGGCTTGTGGAGTAGGACTCCTGTCACATTAGTCCCAGTACCTGCACTTGCAGCTACATCATGTTCAAGAAATGCCTCCTGAGTGACTAGCCCTCTCCTACTTCGCAGCAAAGACCAAGATAACCAGGCATCTCTCAGACGCCATCCCAGGGCCCCCGATCATCCTGCCTTCGTCTGAACCCCCCTAACTCCAATTGTAGAAATAATGGCTAACAGGTACTTACATACTCATTATACATAAGACATGATAATATCTCTGTATATATGATAGCATTTTATTCTCCAAATAACTCATAAATGAAATACTATTATTTTTCTCATTTTATGGGTAGGAACTGAGAATGGACAGCTTAAGTAAACTACCGAAGGGTCACCAAACAACTGGAAAGCAGCAGGGTTGTCTGATGGAAGCTATGCACCCTGCCCTGTCACCAGCAAAACATCCAGAAAGAACAGGACGGGCACTGTGCTGACCGCCTCCGTGCCGCTCAGCGAAGGCTCTCACATGTACTACTGCGTGGACACACATGCACGTCCCTGCTGCCGCTGTGAGCGCCTGAAGAACAAGGATTTCGCCCTGGCCGGTTTGGCTCAGAGGTTAGAGCATCGGCCAGTGGACCAGAGAGTTCCGGGTTCGGTTCTCACTAAGGGCATGTACTTTGGTTGCGGATTGGCCCGGCCCCAGTTGGGGTCATATCGGTGGCAACCAGTCGATGTGTCTCTCTCACATCGATGTTTCTCTCTCTCTCTCTCTGGCCCCCTCTCTCCCTCCCACTCTATCTGAAGATAGATGCAAAAAAAAAAAAAAAGAATTAGGGTTTTGCTTTAATTCCTTTTATATCTTACACACCAAATATCATACCAGAAACATGGTAGCTACTCACTAAGTACTTGAAACTGGGTGGGTAAGAATCCATTTTTATAGTGGCAGCATTATGAAGTGGTCAGTCAGAAAATGGCCAGTGACATAATAACTCTTGAAACGTGAGCATGTGAAAGTGGAAGTCACCTGGCTCAACACAGGACACGATGCTGCGACGGACAGAGGAGAGAGTGGGACTCGCCGCTGCCCCCTGGTCCTCGGGAAGATGAGTCGCCTCGGAGGTGACCCCACATTTTAGCTCTGCCTGTCCAGGAGATAAGATCTTCAGGAACAGTTTGCTTCCCCTACTCCTTGTAAGTCCGGTTTCATTGCCAGTGATCGGGTTTAACATCGATAACAGGTGCCAGGATGGACGGGGGGTACGCCCCTGCCGTCTGCCCCACTCCTTCCCTCCAGTCCCGTGTTCATGTGTCACCTCTGTCGCGTCCCGTACACCCAAAGGCAGCCTGCTTCCGTTTCCTCAGGAAACAAATACGTCTGGTTCTGAGAAGAAGCTCTGCCCGTGTTTTGTCTTGGCGGCGAGTCCAGCGGGGCCTCCGAGGGC